CCTCCATTGCTTTATGCTTCAGCCATCCCTGCACATTCAATAACTGTCCATTGATCGACCACGGCCGATCTCTCAGGATTCTACAATATTCATCCTCCTGAGTAACTGTGAAAATGAAAGCATTATCCTTCATATCAGTAATCTCCAATCCATCTCGAAGATTCCATGCCTTTTGCACCTTACTCTCAAACATCGATCTATTAACTTCCTTAGCAGTAATCCGTTTACTGATCAATACTTTTCAATCCACATCCTCATTTCAAACAATTGACTCAGCAAAAACCTCCTCTGAATCATCTATACTCCTTCCGTCACACATCTCTGACCTTTGATCACCTTCTCTGGTAACCGCCACACCACCAAACACCTAAGCTCTCACGTACATTGTATGTAGAGAGTCAAAAGCTCTCACACAGAGAGAGTATCTAATATTAATAATCTTTATTCTCATTAATTTGCATTCCCCTTAGTCTTCTCATATGTGTCCCTGCCTTGTTAAGAGTTTAGTTGAAGTTTGAGTGGTTCTAGACTGCGAGATTAGTTTCTTGTTTTTTTGGGATGAAAAATACAAATATTATTAAATAATGTCAAGGTAGATTAGTTTGTTTATCAACTTCATCAATGCCCCTGGCAAATTTAAATGCTATGCATGACCCCGTGGTTACATATAGTGGAAAGTGGAAAGCAATTTTGGATGCAGACATCTGCTATGAACCAAAATCCCTCACACGGGTATTCATTTACGAGCAATGATTTAAAACCAGACCAAATAGCAAAGCCATTAACGGCTCAATTTTGATCAAAAAAATTATTTTCATGATTGAACAAATTGGACTTGAGTTGAGCTACTATTGAGTCAGAAATCAAGGTTGAATTAGGAACTAGAGCGGATTTTTTTTTAAAAAATCATTTTAAACATAATATTAAAACAAACTTAAAAACAAAAAATAAAAAAATTTAAGAATTAGCTCATACTAAAAGCTAACTTTATTTTTGGATAATTCATATATATAAAATATGATTTGAGATTATTTTTATAAAGATGTTAACAAATACTTGAATTTACTCATATCTAATTTATAAAATTAAAATTCATAATCTTATTAATTTATAGTCATATTATGCCATTTTATCAACATACTATAGTTTTTTGTATTTATTTTATATATACATTCAATATTATTTTGTTTAATCATTACATTACCAATTCGACTATTAGTTTAACTCAATTTGATCACGCGAATCGTGAATTGTTGGCCTTTCCAATTCAATATCCAATCCAGTTTTAAAAACTTTGTTAAGGAGACAAATTGAAGTCTACTTCCTTCTACTGCTAGGCTTGTTTTAACCATGCAAATTGGTTTCCATGCTCATCTACCGTCGGTTAAGACTTTCAATCTCAACCATTTAAAATATATCTGAACAATTTAAATCTTAGTGATGAGCACTATTGTCAGTATGATGATTATTAAAACTAATCTCATCAAGAAAAATAATCATATCTTTAAAAATAGAGAAATTTTTGCATAGATCCCCTGCACCATGTCATCATCCATGCAAGAATTTCTTTTAACATTATTCATCTTTTTACCAATGCCTTTTATTAAATATCAATTACTACCTCAATTTTGTAAATTGTCTTACAAGTACGCCACCCCAACTCTAATCAATTTTATCTTGCAAGACTGGAGGGAGGGAGTTTATAAAAGCCTATTTGAATTTCAGTTGAATATAATTAATTATAAAAATGATTAATTAAATGATTAATTTTAATCATAATTAATTATGTTATAACACAATTTGTTTTGATACTATTTTTTTAAAATTAATTTTAATAGAATTAAAGATGTTTGGATAATTTATTCAGAATCAATTCTAGCTATATAAATTACCATGAAGGACATTACTTTTTAAAATTAAATTATTGATAAATTTGTATCTAATATTATTAAATTTGTTAAATTTTATTTAAAAAGTAAAACATATTATTGAAATTATATATAATTATAAAAACTTGAATTACATTAATATTAACAATTTTAATTTACATAAATTTAATAAAAGGGAAAGATTTAATTCTTAGATACCAAATATTAATTTTACAATAACTAATGAAGATGATAATATATAAATAATCTCTAATGACATCATGAATATGAGCCATATCTGATGAAGATAGTAAGTATTACTTAAAAATTTTGGCAATATAAAAATGTAATGATGTAATAAATGATGCAAAATCTATCTCTCTTTCAACCTTTGCAACAATCTTTATAATGACTCTCAAGTTTAAATTAAATTAAATTAATTTTTCTCTATCAATTAATATTTTATTTAAATTAGTTTTTTAGCAAGTGTTAAGTGAAGGGTGGTGGTTGATAAGAACTTATATTAGTAAATTTTTTGAGAATTCAAAATTTAAATTTTACTAAGGAAAAAAAAAAGAGAGTTTAATTTTATTTTTATTAAATTTTGGACATTTCTTGTAATTTTTTCACATGCCTTTCTTGTAATTCGAATGTAGAAGCTCACACTCGTAGCTTATGAAAAAAAAAAATCAATTTTTTTGGATAAAATCAATTACCCACTTAAATTGGTGTTTGGGTAATAACTCAAAAAAATTGATTTTTTAACTCAAAAAATCGATTATTATACGTATCCAAACGCGCATTAAATCAAATAAAGTGCACTCTGAACGCTGGCTCAAAAAAGTATGCCACAGACAAGAATTTCATGTAACTTCATTTTGAAATTATTTAAAATGTGCCCAAAAAAAGGTCTCGAGACACTTCTATATTCTGATTAATTTGTCTCTACGAATCCTAAAATATATTTGTATTTTCATCTTGTTCTCTCAGAAAATAGAAAGTTGGTCGGGTATTATATCTTTTTTAAAAAGTCTATTTGAAAAGTGTACTCCAAGTCTATTTTAAATATGCTTTTCTCAATATGAGAAATTGTAGCTTTTTAATTGAAAAGTAAAAAATTATCCAAACACTAGCTTTATTATAACAATTACAACAATTTGCAAGGAGAATGATAAATAAAAACCACGTAAAAATGTTAATGTTAAATAAAATTTTTTTAACATTGACGTTTTTAAATTTTAATACTTTTTTTTATCATATTTTAATATTAAAATTTTTAATTTAATATTAATATTTTTTATAAATTCCTTACTTATTATTCTTCTCAATTTTTTATTAAACTAACTTTTATTAGTAAATGAATTTTTGACTAATTTTGATCATGCTTTTAAATGCATATGTGTATATCGTCATGTAGCCTTAAAATAACAGCATGCGGATGCGGATGGCATGTACGTACATAAAATGATTGGACGTAGCTACACGTTAATCATGATTCCCTTTCATTTCCGAACTCGAACTACTTCATCTGCGATTTGGAACTCAAATAAATAGGAGGATGTATATAATATGATTATTAATCAAATCATAATCAAGCGAGCTATAAATGAAATATTCATTAAACCAATCAAAATAGAAAATCTAACGATATACTGATACGGGATTAAGTGAGGGAAAATGATAATAGCGACAAAGTTGAGATTGCAGGACATGTAGCATTGGGAAGGACCTGCCTGGAAGATGGATAGGGTCACGTGTGTTGTAATTAGTTAGGACTTAGGAGGGTTGGTGTGACAGATTTACGTTACAATGGAATCCTTTCATACGCAAGAAAAGAAAAGAGTCCCGCCTTCATTATTAGTTATCGGTTTCATAGCCCAATTCACTGTTGGATTCTTCTGTGAAATAAATTTTAATTTGCTTTGTTTTAAACTAACAACCAGTAATTTTAAAATCATACTGGATAGGATGGTTTGATAGTCAACTAATTTAAATTTTGATTCGGTAAATATATAAAAATTATTTTAAAAATTAAATTGAGTTGGGCTGTTTCAAATCAACTATCAAATTGAAAATCAAAATCAAATAAGAATTAGATTCAGTTTTTAAGAACTAAACTATTTTATTTTTTTTATTTTTTATTGAACCTTTTTTAAAAAATAACTATTTTTTAATCGTTTAATATTATGGTGTATTATGTGATTTATTAAGTTATGATAAACTTAAAATATTTAATTTTTTTAAGTTAAGTAAAAATTTTATATTTATTATTATATTTAAATATTATTATATAGATAATTTTTATATTTAATTATTATATTATTAATTTAATTATTGATTCAATTCGATTAATTATACGAATCATGGATCTTTGATTTTGAAACCATTGCTAACAACAGTGCTACAGTTAACACTCTGAATAATCCAAATGCATTGTACTCTGAAAGACATTTCAAGGAACCCTGATCAGATCACTGATGAGTCCCTGCCATGACACGAGACATGCCACCTGTTATGATTACATTCCCATTTTTCGTAAAACACTTTTTCTCTTGAAATGCTAATCATCATTTCATTTCAATATAGCAGAATCATTACGGTGAGTTGGAAACGTAGCATATGATGTGTCCATCACAACGCGCAGGAAACGCCAAAATGGCAACCATCATTGACTCCTCAAGCTCATCCCATGACGACACTCTTTCCGAAGCTTCCGCCTTCTCATTGCTTTGCCCTGCATTTCGCGCCTTTCATTTCTTCTCTTCCCTTCCAACTCGCTTCTTCACCTTGGACCATACTCTTTGCATTTAATTCTCCATTAACTTTCTATTAGAAACTTCACTGATTCTATGGGAATTAATTACCAAAGCTCAGACTCAAATAATAGTAATAATGCCTTTTTTTTCTTCCAATTCATAGTGTTTTATTGTATGTATTGTATTTCAAACATGCATGGTGTAATTATTGTGCGGATTCTGAGACGACGCTAGCTTGCAAACTTTTGATGCATAGCATATTAACCTTTTTAAATGGAGATATTTTTTTTATCTCTAGCATTTGAGTGTGTCGAGTTCTATCCCAGTGAATTGTATATACGTGTGCCGTCAATTTATTTCTAGAGCACGTTCAGAGTGAGAGAAAAAATTTGCTCCATTAATATTAATCTATCAGTCATATATAAGTCCAAAAGTTGGCTAAAAAAAGACCAAAGCAAGAAATGAGTTCAAAATATATGATAAACATCAGCTAAAGCTTCTAATTATACAAAGAAGTGCTAACCCATAATACAGTTAACTATGATCAATGAGAGTGGAAGGAATCGTTTGGGCAGTCAATTTCAGAAGCTACTTCATCTTGATGGAGACGATCAACGCCACAAGGAGTGTGGGCATGTCCGAAAGCCTTGACATGATCTTTAAGAGATCTTTTATGCTTGAAGTCAGAGCCGCAAGAGCAATACCAGAGCCTGCCACAGTTCTTCTCGTGAGTTCTCCAATCGCCTCTCACTGCAAATGCTTTGCAACATTTTCTGCACATGAAAGGCTTGATTCCATGCTTCCTCTTGTAATGGGTTTGAAGGGTTCTGAAGTCTTTTAGAGGTTTGGCTCTGGGATGCTCGATGTTGTTCTTGCACCCGGGTGCACAACAATAGCACGGAAGCCTCAGCATTGCTGTTGGCTGTGTTCCCCTCAGAGACTCTGGTCCCCTTCTATATTCATATCCATGCCCCCACATATGCATCTGTGTATTATTACCACTAATCAATCTTCAATTCTGGGAACCGAATTGAATTTAGTGTCACTGTGGATCAGCTGAACCAAAATCCGTGGCTCATATGTGAAGTAACAATTATTACCTACAGCTAGGTCTACGTGACGTGGCCGTCTCATTTATTTTAAATTATTGTTGTCTGTCGGCCAAGTTCCGGAGTAATAAGGCAGGCTACCTAGCTATAGCTAGGAGGGTGCATGAATCGCGTCTCTCTCAACACTGCTGTCGTAGAGCATAAATGAAAAGGCAATGGTGTAGGGTATCCTGATAAAGCAAAAGTTGAAAAAGCCCAAAACTATTTGAAACACTGTTCATCTTTCTTTTGGCCAGCAATGATGTGCATCTATTTAGATTATATTATGCTTGTGTTTGACGTCGTTTTCATTTTCTGCATCCTCAATGCTCAAATTTCTTGGCTTTAAACTTAATCTAATTAACATCGCATAAAAATCCTAGTGAGCGATCTTCCATCTTTACTAACTAATACACGCGCGCGGACACGCCAAAGTATTTACAAGGTGCATGTCGGTTATACGTACGTAGAACATGTCGGTTATATTACACTGTCCAGGGAATACTCATGGAAGTTCATATATACGGAAAAGAGGCGTAAAATATATATATATATATATATATATAAGTTTCATGCTAGAGGGAATGCAATCTCAAGTAGTAAAGGAAGTTTGGAAAGCCCTAAAACAGACACACACTTCAACAAATCCAACACTTTTGTGAAATGAAGCTATGATGGTGAAAACTTTGAATCAGGCTTTTCTCCTTTACAGCAAATGTTCGCGAAAGGTAAGATCGGAGAAAGTAGAGGGCGGAGAACAGGGAAAAGGAAAGGGAAAGACTCGCTCCTCTCTTTCAATCTTAAAATTTTTCTCTCTCTCTGGGGAGAATGATTAATGAATCTGGAAGAGGATGGAAGAGGACAAACCTGCATGTTGTTGTATCTGTTGAAGGTCTTGAAACAAAGAGGGCAGGAGAACTGGGTCGGACCAATCAGAATCTGAGCCGGGGAAGGGATCCAATACTGACTGCCTCTAGCGATCCTATCAGAGAGATATCTGGAAGATTCAGTGGTGACTTCATCTTTGTCTGAAACTGCATCGGCGGAGTATAGGTTCGAATCAGCCAACTCAGGCGAGGAACTACTAGTGGTCGGAAGCCCTAGGCGTAATTGTAAAGCCAGCTTCGAAGGATCATCTTTCAGAGAACTAAACCCCATGCCTCCTTTCTCCTGGGTGTCTACTTGCATATGATCATCATCATCATGTCTTGGGGGGCTCAGGTTAAGGAGAGGTAGGGCTTCTCTGGGAGGAGAGGGTAAAGTGAGAGACGAGAAGTTGAAGGGCGAGGAACAAGAGAAGGCAATGGAGGAGTAGTGGTCGGTCATGATAAGGGAAAATGTAAAGGAAAGGGAATCAGCAAATGGTAAAAGTGAGATATCGATATCTCAGAGAGAAGGGGTTGAAGGACGGGTAGAAATCCAATGTTGTTGGACCCATTCAATTCAAGCAAAAAAGGCAGCGACAAGAAATCACTTTGCGAATCTGGAGCGAGAGCGTGGGATTGATAAAGCCGTCTCGTGGGGAAGCAGATGAAAGATGATTATTCATGAGCTCATCTTGGGACTTGAATGAACAACCTACGCGTCCACTGTATGACACAAAGGGTATTCATTACGATTCATCTAAGAATGTCTTTCGGAGAGAACGAAACTCCACCCGCGCTACCAATTATATTATCATTAATTTTAGGAAATTAAAAATAAATAATATACAACCGCGCGTCTAGTTTTATAAAGTTTAATCTTTATTTTAAAATTTTAAAAGATATTTGCAGTTAAGCTAAAAAATTTAAGAGAGCCTTATATTGTACTGCTATTGAAAAAAAAAAAAAAATCTGCCTGGATGACGCCCTTCATTGTGAAATTCACGTCCTGGGGAAAAGAAATAGTTGGGATGTGAAGCAGCAATTTCTTCGGCCTGCACGCTCTGGGTCGGTTTGGCTCCTCAAACTGCATTCACGTCTTACATACTTCACTGTTGCCTTTGTCTGTCCTCTTTCATTATCTCCTGCAGATCTGTCCCGTTCGGTCAGACGTTTGGAGCTTAAAGGGCACATTCCGTTACGCTGTAGATCACATTCGCTCCTCTTTATGCTGCACGGATCTTCTTTCGACACACTCGGCCGCAACCGCTGTTCCGCCATTGCCCTCCTCCCATACCTTGGTGAGAAAATACATGCAACTTACTACTTGAAACACGAGCTCTTTGTCAAATGACCCTGCAGTTCAAAACCGCCAATGGCATGTAATTGTTGACTTTCCGGCTAATTCTGAACGTGATATCGCGCGATCAATAAATGTTGAGACTATGGATTACAAAGAATATTGAATACACACGATATTGTCCCTTCAATTCCAACAGCATATAGACTATACAACAGAGGACGAAGGAGCGGGTAATGCAACACCTTAAGAGCTAAAAGTTCACAGAGTCTCATTACTCTAAAGTGGGAAGCGACATGCCGCTGTCTTGGCATGCTAACCGAGGCCCTTGTGTCCCCAACAACGGAACCAACCTCCCTCCTTGGAATCAAAATGGACGAGAGCCATTTCAGGCAAGAAATTCACCATTTAACAATTAAAAACAGCGTCAGGACAGCTAATTGTATCAACCGGCGGAAAAAAAATTGACAAACGCTTTTCACAGATGACAAAGCAAGCCTTTCGCGAGGCTCCCAAAAGCAAAACACCAGTAGGACATGGGGAAACAATCAAGTGAGCTCTGAGAGGCAGGTAAAACATCTAATTTCTATGACCGACGCCAAAGTGAAATCTCTTTTCACGCCTATCATTGAAGGCATACTCTAGACGCAAAGGGCCCAATGGAGAATCCACACGGATCCCAAACCCATATCCATATCCGCTCCCGGGTTTCAGCCTTGCTCCAGCAGGGTCACCTAATAAAAACCAAAATGTGATTCACAAACATATCTTCTTAGAAAGGTATCACAAGACTCAGATGTTTAATAGTTAAATTTGTTCAAATAATACAATTTAGAAATTGTGCCACTTCACTTGACTCTTGAATCTTAATACTAACCTAGTACAACTTGTTATAGGTTTTATTTTTATTTTTTATAAAAACTAGCATCTTAAAAAACGAGCAAAGGGAGCCTACCAGGAACAGTTGAGCCTGATCCAAGATCTGTTCCGTAGTCGGAAAACAAGACTCCTTCTACTGGCCTCAACTGCAATCAGAAACAGTATAAGATCAGTGAACCAACTTCTCTCCAAACTTATTTTTTGCCAAATGCATGTATCCATGGGCATCTGCAAAAAATGTTCATCAAATTCAAGTACCATCGGGAAAGAAATTTCTCCAGAGCCAACAACATATGATCGACCAGATCCCACAGCACCTTCTTCATAGCCTCTCACACTATTTGTTCCACCGATAGCAAATGCCTCGTAGGGAGAGAAATTTCCCACCACATGACCACCAGAGAGGCTACCAATAAAATCAACAAAACAAAATTAGATAATTTGTTCTTGTTTCACTGCAAAGCCACATCATTCTTGTTTATGACAAAAGCATGGGTATTTCATACCTTAAAAGAAAGCGAGCAGAACCTATCTCAGCACCCTTCCTAGCACGCACATTCGTCCTGTTGAAGGACAACCACTCAGGCAAAAGAGGAAGTCCCTGTTCCATGTTGAAGACAAACTACAAAACCAAGCAAATAAAAGTGAGAATCATAGGAGAGAAATTTGCATTAAAGGACAGCAGTCAGTGTACAACAGACCATAGAAGACCCATGATCGCCAGAACCAGTGTAAACAGTCTCAAATTTAGCAAGCAACATGTCATCATGGGTATTTCCACTGCAAGGAAACATTGGCAAAAACATTAGAAACAAGAAACCAAAGCAAATGTAGCATTTATTTTCAGGTTGCAAACCCCGCAGTGAGAGGACTACTGTAACCATCCTTGATGATAGGAGTCCCTTTGTCATCACGAACCCCAGCATGCTGGAGTAAAAGCCATCATAAAAAAAAAGGAAATACAACTAAGCTTATCGCATATTTAGAAACAATTAAAAATAGGAAAAATAACAACCACACAGAAATAACCAGCTTAACCTCTGAAATTTTGAAATTAAGTACCTGAAAAATAAGCCCTGCAGTTCCACTCCACTTTGGCCTGACTGGTCGACTGAACTCTATACCAGCTGTGACACGACCAATGGTCAGGCTACTATTATCAGGCTGGTTACCATGAACCACTGTTCCAGGGGTTCTTGAATTCTAGTAAGAAGTAAATGACATGCCAGAAGACACAATCTTTAGCCCAATAGCATCAAGAGAACAGAAGTTGAACAAGGACAAGATAAACCTTCAGATTACCTGAATCATTATTGTTCTAGATGTTCGTCTATCATCTCCTTGAATCCAAGGGTCTGTGTAGTTTATACGAAATATTGAGTCAATCTGGCCCCTCTCTAAGGAAATATTGAGTTTCTGGTTTCGACCAAACACATTCCTATGAGAATAGGCAAAGCTGCAATAACCATAGTATGATTGATTATACCAGCTGTATCAACTATTAAAAATCTTTTGAAGTGGAAACAATTAGCAAACATTATAAACAATTAGCAATAAACATTATAAACAATAAAAGGAGCCAGACAAATCACCCTTAAATGGCTTCAGTTGCAGGTAAGTAACCTCAGATTATATCAATAACACATAGAAGGAGAAAATAGGATACTGCAGGTAAAAACATCTGCTAATAACTTGCCACTGCATGATGTAATGAAGCCCATGAGCTCACCTTCCAATTAGTCCAGACAGAGGACCACTGGTATCCTGTGATCATACATAACAAAGTTAGACCGTGCAGCAAAGGAGTTTAGTAATTTAGTGTATATTAGCTCCATTAATGTATACTTGAAATTAGCATCACTCACCCACTTGATATCCCCACCCGCTGAAAATCCTCCGCTAGGACGCTCCACCACATTCATCACAAAATCAACCTTCCCTGTATCTACATTATTGCAGAAACAAAATACAATGGGCTCATTTTATCAAAAATAATAATTATACACTAGGTTCAATGAATGATTATGCTGACAGTATCCCTTTCTAACAGCTATTGAACTTAAATGAAACCCATTTTTCATTAGTACTTATTACCAGCTGGCTGAGGAATAATGCTAACATCTTCCATGATTCCCATAGTTAATACAGTCTCTACATCTCTTTTTCCTGAATCATACTGTAGACCGACAATAAAATTATTATTTACAAAATTCCTTGTTAGTAAAATTCAGCCTGGCATATGTCCATAAACAAGACTCTTTATACGCAGGTATGCATGAATTAGAGCAGGAGATCAGCTGTTCCCTTCAGTGAAAATCACTATAGACAGGAGAATGCTGATAACTTCACCCATAAAAAATAATGATGATGATATACTTCAAAAAGCCAGGAGATTCTCTCTATTTAGCTTAATTTGCACAGACATCAAAAGAACAAAGTTCTTATAAAGCAATCAACAGCTAGCTCTCAACTTTGAAGGAACTATTATCTTCAAAGCATTCCCGGAAGTACCTGCCCCTTCTTGGTTGTAAATTGCCTGAGTATTGTTTCTGGCTTTGTCTTCCCTAAAGTAGGCTCACCTCTGACAACAGCAAACTAAGTTAGTAATATAACTAAATAAAAATCAAATGAAAAGTTATTTGCATTTCATGTAGATGTGGTGACTGCACGTTTGTACATATGAAATAAAATTAAAAATCCTTACGTTTTCCTATCAAGAAACCGTATGGAGATATTATTGACCTCAGCTTCTGAAACGTGCAATCTCAGGATACCCCCTGAGAGAGTCTCAACAGCTGAAACCTATCATAAACATCAAAGAGATGTGGAAATTAGGGGGGGGGGACAATCATTATCCTAGTGGGAGCACAATCTAAGCCAAGTTAAAGCCCTTGAAATTCTATGGAGCTAAAAACAGGAAAAAGCTTATATGACCAGAGTTTGGAGAATAAACAAATATACGGTCATAAGGGTAAGTTACCATAGCAAAAAGACCACGCTCCATATACCAGCCATTGATGGATGATATTGCTTCATCCAGTCGCCTTAGATTGATAACTTTCCCTGTACAAATTAACATGCAAAGGTTATGACAGACTTAAATGAACGCACAATCATGTAATTTGCATATATATGATTAGAACTGCAAAGGCAAGGGTGAAAAGGTAAGAGTTACCATATCCATCCCGAAATGAATCTTCTAGAAACTTTGCTGGAAGAACATTAGCTCCTTCACATACCAAACCTTGGAATTCTTGATTTGCTTCTACCTTGTGCCACAAGAAACCAAAACTAATTATTCGATGTATAAGCAGTTTATAGATTTCTTAGATCAATTTCAACGTCATTTTGAAAAATAAAAATAATCGATTAAGCATTCTGAAGGAGTCATTTGATTACTTTGTCGGTAATGATGCAAAGGTTCTACTTCTATGGGAAACTTTCTCGCAGTTCCAAAAGAATAGTAAAACGCAACCATCTTTTAACGTTCGAGCCATGAATGCCTTAAAAATAGAAAAAAGCATATTGCCAAGAACGTGAAGGACATGAATTTACTTATTTAACAACTGCAAAAAAATTTAAAGCACTTGTGATGTCCAGCTCATTATACTCACTACTCTTCTCGAACATCATAAATTTATTTATTTATTTTTTGGGAAGGTCGATAATGAAGTAGAAAGCAAACAAGACTTTACTCTCTTGTAAAAAAGTTGGCTACAGACGTGATGAGTGAGGATAAAGAATCCTAACTTTGGTTACAGATTCAAATATGCAATCGTTTGCAATTGAAGATCATGGCAATATATGACATTTTTGGAGAAACTCTAAGGAAACGGAATTAAATGAGAAACAAAATCGGTATACCTCTTTCGTACTCGTACCTGAAATATCAATCTGATGCCATCACGCGTATCAACTGCAACTGGCATGCACGAGCAGAAATACCCACTATTAATGATGCGATGGACATCCTCTTGGACCTCGCGCACAGTGAGAGCGGAGTTGGGTCGGCAAGCTTTGAGGGCCTGAAGTGCCTCCATCTCGAGGTCCTTTCTTTCAAGCTCATCTCCATCCTTGTTTCTAACAAGCACCTCACTGATCAGCACCCTATCTTCGTTCTGTCGACTTGAAGCGTGCCCCTTCTGTGGAGCTTCCTTCCCCTCTGGTCCTGATTGGCCCGACTCTGCCAATGCCAATGAAACTGAACAGAGAATAGGTGACGTTCCTTTCAACGCTCTCTTGTCACCAGTCCCAGAACCACTCAAGGATAACGATGCTGAACCAAAAAAAGAAGATTTAATCCTTTCTTCCGAAACACTCGGGGCTGGACTAGTCCACTTTGCCTTCTGAGACAACGATGGAGTGCTTCTAATAGAATCAAGGAATAGTGCTATTGAGTTTCCAGTGTGAAGGATTTGAGAACGTATGCTTTCGAAACAAAGGGTTGGGGTTTTGGGAGGACGGGGGATTTTAATGGAAGACGAAATGAAGCGGACATCATCATTTATAAGCATTCTGGGCTCGCTTCAAAGATAAGGGAAGATTTGAATTCGAAGCGAGGAAAGAGAGAAGCCCCCACTGAAGCGGCGGGCAGTCATGGACGAGAAAGCCGAAGCTTCCTTCGAGCGAGCTACGCTTCCGTTGAATCCCGGAGCTTCTTCGGTTCGAATATGGGCCGGGTATACGGAGTCATTTCTGATGGGGACCGAGGAGTTTTGAAAAGGAGATGTTGGTTGGAAATGGAATAAGCTATTACCTTATTTTATTGTTTATTTAAAGCCCACTTAAATTTCAGTATAATTAATTAATATAGTTAATTTTAATTATAATTAATCATATTATAATATAATCTATTTGAATACTATTTTTAAAAATTAATTTTAATAAAATTAAATATATTTAAATAATTTAGTCAAAATTAATTTTAATTGTGTAAATTATCATAAAAGACATTACTTTTTAAAATTAAATTATTGATAATTTTGCATATAATATTATTAAATTTGTTAAATTTTATTTAAGAAGTAAAATATTTTTTTAAGTTATATATCTGATTAATTATAAAAATTTAAACTATATTATATTAACATTTTAATTTATATAAATAAATAACTCAATATATCTTAGTTTAAATAAATTTAATAAAAAAGAAAGATTTATTTTTTAAATACCAAATATTAATTTTATAATAACTAATAAAGATGATAATATATAAATTAATTTTCAATGACATTATAAATATGTGCCATATCTAATGAAGATGCTATAGATGGTGAGCAAGGATGAATGTTCATCAATGTGATGATCTTCCTAATTTTCATGCTATATTTGATCTCCCCTTTTCATGACCCTGAAGATGTAAAATGAGAGGATAATATGAGTGGTGGAATTCTATTAACAACTTATTTATTATTCTAACGGTAAAATTAATTTAAATAGGTTAGTGGAAGAAGCTTTGCTCAAAGTGTAATTTTTACATCAATAATTGATTATCTACTTTATATGATTTTTGGATAAGTTTTACTCAAAAATCAATTTTGATCCAAAAATTTGATTATTAACCCTATCCAAACAGGCAGTTAAGAGATCAATTCAAAACATATTAAAACTTTTAGGGAGAATTATTATGAAGTCCTAAATAAGGAATTTAATCACCAACAAAATTCTGTAAAAATATTAATATTAAATTAAAATTTTTTTAATACCAACATTCTTAAATTTTAATACTCCTTTTATCTCCTTCTATCGTGTTTCAATAATAAAATTTTTATTTAATATTAATAATTTTATAAGGTTCTTCCTTATCATTCTCCTTATTTGTAATCTTCCTCCTTCTTCACGTATAATCTCGGAAGAAAAGGCTTTAGGAGCGAGCAAGAAGATCAAAAGGGCGGAAAAAGTGAGGGGTAATTTGGTTATTTCAACACAAAACTAAATTGCAAAGGAGGTCATTAGCCCGCAGAGACACGTCATTATTATTCATTTTGGAAGGCCCTAGGTGCGATTCTCCCTGATTATTTTACCTTTTTTGAAGCGAAATTCCCAGTGTTCTATTTGATTTGGAATTCAAGTCGCCTTTGGTTCGCTGGAATATTTTGAAGGAAATGAAATCGAATATAGGACTAGAAATGGAACTGAAAAAGAAAAATGAAATTGGTTTATAACTATAGTTTGGTATACTTAAAAATTTAAATGGAACCCTTGAACACAAAAATGTTAAATACAATAATATCCTTATAAAAATAATTAATAAAATTAATCATCACCTAAAAATCACTTCATCTCCCGGTCCTTCTGTTTTGCATCTCTAGCACACTAAACCAGTTAGACATGACTGGGTGATGGTTTAGTGCTTAACATCAAAATCAAGCCCCCCAAAAAAGATCCAAACTGGAAAGTAAAAGGACAAGGGAATCCTACAAAATTTGAATTTTCACCCACTCTTTTTCCATCGAGCACGAAACAAGAGCTGAACCTGAAAAAGTACCAGATTGAATCATCATTGCACATCGGCAAAGCATGATCTTCTCCCTATTACATTCGGAAAATCGAAAATACAATACAGTCCCGATGGGAGTCACAAATTGGTAAATCGAACCATTGTTGTCAGATCTGAAACAAAGCAAACAGGGGAGCCTGTTCAAATTTGAAGCAGATGACGGAGAAGTTGGGAAGCTCTATCAGAGAAGGTGAGACGCGATGGAGACGGAGAAGTCAAGCGGCGGAACATGATTGGATCTGCAACATCTTTGACGGTGGGGCAGAACAAACAACGGTGAGAAGTGGTCCAAGAATGACTGACGGAGAATGGCCGTCAATGAAGAAGGTCAAAGGATGTGTCTTGGAATTTTGAGAAATTATAGGGGTATTTTAGTCTGCAAAAGTAATCTTTTAGGAAAATATGATTTTTCTTGGGTTTGAGGCAAGGTACGTAAAACTGGACTGGTCATTAAACCGGTCATGACATTGGGTCATGGGTTAGCGGTTCAATCGGGGTTGAACCGGTGGCCGGTCATGATTAAAATAATACAATTTAAATAAAAAGACATTAATTATAAAAATATTCAACCAAATCCAACCACTCAAAAGTGTAACAATAATAAAATACTATATTTTTGGACTTAGCATGCTTTATCTCTAATTTTTCATTTTTTAACTTCAATTTCACTTTTTTTGTTATCTTTTTTCTGAACTCAGAGCTTTGAAAAATAAAAAATGAAAAAAAATCAAAAACGACGTCATTTTGGGGTAAAAGTCTAAAAAATATTAACCCGGTTAACCAGTCAACCCACCGGGTTATCTGGGTTATACCGGGTTGAACCCGAGTTGATCGGGTTACACCGGTTTACTCCCTCATCGAGTTAAGAGAGCAAACCCAAACCGGACAGGGGATCGGTTCACCGGTTTTCGGGTTGACCCGATCGGTCCGGTCCGGTTTTTAACACCATAGTTTGAGGTGAGAACCAAATTTTTATTCTCTTTTCTGAATTTTAATTTTCAAACATTAAATTTCATACCAACTTATTAAAAGAATTTACTAATTCCTTTTCCATTTCTTTTTCCTGAAGCTTAATCCTAGTGAATCAAACAAATCCTTCAGAGCATTGATACTCAGCGTTTGCCTCATAATTTTTCCCGCTGGCGACAGGTGATCGACCACTGGCCACTCGCTAGCCTAGGGTTAGCTCTCCGAGAGGGAGGGAACAGCAACAATATTTATATCGGGCGCGCAGTTCTGATCTATAAAGACGACAATGACGACGACAGCTTCCCAGGGTTATCATCAACCTTCCTCCATTGAGGAAGTTCGAACTCTCTGGATTGGGGATTTGCAGTACTGGGTCGACGAAAATTACCTTAGTCACTGCTTCGCGCACACCGGAGAGGTTTGTTCTCCTCCTCTTCTTTTTCGATGCCTTGGACTTGCATAAAGAATTATCAAACAAACCACTACTGGTAAAAAAAATTCCACCTGTTGGTTTTTGGGAAGTAAAAAAAAAAAAAAGTATGCTGGGGCTTATGGTTGAACTAATGAGAAAAAGGACAAAAAACACATTCGACATTGAAAAATGGAACCCGACAGGTGGAATTACTGGGGAAATAATGTTGTTCAGAGATTGTCCCAATGGTGCGCTCCAGAATTAGTTAAATTTCAATTTAATTAGCGAGGGAAGTGTGCCATTTTGGAAAGTTTGCTCCTAGAGGATGAAGGGCTTGGTAACATCTTTATTTATCCTTGATGTAACAGTGTGAAAAAGTTACTTTTGGCATTTCAATGGAAATCTTGAATGATAGTTCCGAAGATGAAGAAGATTCTCATGAAATTTGGCTTGCTTATTGATTTTATCCCGGGCAGCCTGAAAACCAATCATCTTTGATTGAAACTGTCTATCATTTTTGCATTTTTCCACCCAAAAAAAAAAAAAATCCCTTTCCCTGTTGTGAAGTTTCATTTGTGTTCGCATGCTGGTTGTTGTGTGGAGTTTTTGGATTTCCTGAGGACATCTCTAATGGATCAACAACTTATTGCTTTACCTTGTATTGTTTGAGAAAAAATAGTCAGTTTATAAAAAAAGATAGAAAGAAAGAAAGAAAAGGAAAATTTTTTGCATGCCTGTTAATGGAATATGTTTAATGTGTATTGGAAGGTTTGTGCGTAAAGATTTGGAGATGAGACGCATGTTGGAGTTTAATGTAATGTTATACTTAATGTCAGTATTCGCTATTGAACTTAGCTGTGTGTTTCGCTGATTCCTGACAGATGATTCTTGTGTGAATTTTTTTGGGGTAGATGATTTACTTGCGTGATGATATTACATCTGGTGATAGATATTCCATCTTATGCATTCCTTTTATCATGGATTTGTTGATGTGGATAGATGGTAGGGTGTTCATAGAAATGGATTGCTTTGCTGCAGGTAGTTTCCATAAAGATCATACGTAACAAGATAACTGGACAGCCTGAGGGCTATGGATTTGTGGAGTTTGTTTCCCATGCAGCAGCAGAACGGATTCTGCAAACGTACAATGGGACGCAAATGCCTGGAACAGAACAGACTTTCAGATTGAATTGGGCATCTTTTGGTATTGGGGAGCGGCGTCCTGATGCTGGGCCTGAGCACTCGATTTTTGTGGGGGACCTAGCGCCTGATGTCACAGATTACCTTCTGCAGGAGACCTTCCGAGCCCATTATCCTTCAGTTAGAGGTGCTAAAGTAGTGACTGATCCTAATACAGGGCGTTCCAAGGGATATGGGTTTGTTAAATTTTCAGAAGAGACTGAAAGGAATCGTGCTATGACTGAAATGAATGGTGTTTATTGCTCAAGTAGGCCAATGCGTATCAGTGCTGCAACGCCAAAGAAGACCACAGGTTTCCAACAGCAATATGCTGCAGTTAAAGGTGATTGTACTTATACTTTTCATATACTTCCTGGGGAACAAGGACTATACTCCCCTCCCCACTAGATGATTTAATACTTATATATTAAAATTTTCTTAATATTGGCACGTGTTATGTACACATTTTACTACTTGTTAGATACAGAAGCAAGTCTTTTTCCTATTCTATAAATTTGTGTTTTAAGGAGAAATAATTATTTTGTGTATTGTAATTTGTGTTTCTCTTCAGTCTTGAACTATCTTAAAGGATTTTAAAGGACATTTTAGAATTATTACTCTATATTGATTAGGAAATGAGATTTTCATTACCTTGGTCACATTTTGCACTCTGATGATGGGGTCCTGTCATCCTATTTTAATATGGCAAAAGCTATTATAGTGTTGCTGGTTTACACACCCTTAATTTAGACAGATTAAGGCATGTTTTGGTTTCATTGATATCTTTGGTAAAATAAATAAAGTCAATACCAGTCTAATTGACAAGTCTGAGGTATGCCTTGGTAGTGCATGTATTACATTAAAGACTTCAAGTGCTTGTAAGATTTAGGTGGATTTGCTGTTTTGGAAAATAAATAAATAAAAGAAAGAAACTATTTCACTTTAAGTGAACTTGAAATTATGTGGTACTGCTGTATTAGTTTTGGTGCTACTGTGCTTAAGAAATAAAAAAAAACTATTTTAATTAGTCAATGTAGATTTTGAGGGGAGATCTGAAAATTGGTACTCGAGCTTTCGTACCATGCATAATTACTGGCTATACTTTAGGATTTTGCTGTTTGAATATATTGCTACTTAGATGAGGGACTTACCCGAGGATCTCTTTGGCAGCCATATATCCAATCCCAGCATATACTACCCCGGTAAATGCAGTTCCACCAGATTATGATATGAATAATACAAGTGTAAGTCAGACCCACAATATTTTTGTGAATTTTATCCTATGGTTGTCTTACCCCAGTTTTATTGCAGATTTTTGTTGGTAATTTGGATCTTAATATCACAGAAGAAGAACTGAAGCAGACATTTTTGCACTTTGGGGATATTGTGTCTGTCAAGATTCAGGCTGGCAAAGGATGTGGCTTTGTTCAATTTGGGACAAGGTCTCTTATTTTCCTCCTCCCGTTTAAACATTTAAATTCTTTATATGGTTACTCTGTAAAGATACGGGTTTGACATGCTTCCCCCCCCCCCCAAAAAAAAAAAGGAAATGAAAAAAAATAAGAGGCAGTGATTTTTGATATGGCATAACGTTATTCTGTGTCTTTTGAGTTTGAGCTATTCCATCATTCTTTTTGGTTTTTTCTTTATCCTATTTAAGCTCTATTTCTTCAATTTCTCGTGACTCTTTTCTGTAGAACATCTGCTGAAGAAGCCATTCAGAGGATGCAGGGAAAGATGATAGGCCAGCAAGTGGTCCGAATTTCTTGGGGTAGGAGCTTGACAGCTAGACAGGTGATATATATCATTATCATGGAATATTTCTTAGTAGTTTGTCTTCAATTTGCTTGCCAATAGGTTTAAATGTTAAAAAGATGAGTAAAATTAATCTTTTAGGAAACTTTTTAAATAATTATTGCGCTGGGAAAAGATATCTAGTTTGATATAATTTGCAAGAGAGTTGCAGTACCTCCATGTAAGTTGATATATTTTCAAAGAAAATGATGTTTTTAACCCTTTGAAGTTTGTTATGTGTGAATTTGCATTTCATTTTGTCGATATGCTTTATATTATCTTTGATAAAAATTTTCCATGAAATTATACTAGGACTTACCTGGTGGCTGGGGAGCACAGATGGATCCGAGCCAATGGAGTGCCTACTATGGATATGGACAGGGCTATGAAGCCTATGCTTATGGGGCAGCTCAAGACCCTTCCTTGTACGCATATAGTGCATATGCTGGCTACACACAATACCCCCAACAGGTGTGTTACTGTGAAAGTACTTTACATGTCGGATGATTTCTTTCTCTTTTTTTGTTTTTTTTTTTTTTTTTTGGGGGGGGGGGGTTTTGAATCGGCTTGAAGCGGCATTAACGTCTGTTATTAAGCTTCTCGTGCATGTGGGTTGTTTATTTTCAGGTTGAAGGTGCTCAGGACATGGCATCTATGGCTATGCCTAATATTGAACAGAGGGAGGAGTTATATGATCCCCTGGCTATGCCTGATGTTGACAAGTATTGTTTTTTCTTATGCATGTTCTGGAGATAACACCTTCGCATATGCTCCTATTGATTTCTGTGTTTGACGTGTCCCTGATTGCTTTACCAGGCTGAACGCTGCATATCTATCAGTACATGGAAGTGCCATCTTAGGGCGGCCCCTCTGGCAGAAAACCTCGCCCTCCACACAGCCGGCTTAGGATCTATGTATTGCCTAATAATCAGTTTTTGGTACTGATGTTCTAAAGTACTTAGTATCTGCCACCGCGTAATAACTAGTTCTGTTAATATGATATGGTGGGGAACTGAATGCTTCTACTTGCATGATCAGCGGTCAGATATGGGATTCATCATGCTGTAGTCCTCCTCCCCCTTTCTTTCTTTCTTTTTCCCCCGCTTTTTCACCGGCCATTGTGCTTAGTCCCCTTGATAACCATTACTTCGACAAGTGACTGGTTATATTTAGGTTTCAATTGCAGTTGTCGATAGAACTCCAACCTCTATGGTCCACAGCAATATCTCAATTCGGGAATGCTTCTTTTGATATTGGAGGTAATGAGAAGCCATTAAAATCAGATGTGTGGCTGCATCATGTCGTTTTGCACTGCCATTTTGTTCTCGGTTTCTTTCCTTGGTTTGACCTATTTTGTATTATTTTCTTAGGTTAAAGTGCATATTTTGTCTTTTAACTTTATAAGATTTGATTTTGATTCTTTAATTTTATAAAATACTCAGATATCTAAACTAATATTGACACTTATGTTTGGTTTGGTTGGAGGGGAGGGAAGAACCCCTTCCAATCCCCTTCCCCCCATCTGGTTTCTGTGCTCACACTACTTAAACACTGCATTTTGCAGTGTTAAATTTTTTCTTTTCTTTTCTAAATCACAAAAAATAATAATAATAATAAATAAATATTACAAAATTATTATTTTAATAATTAATAAATAAATTTAACTTATTAAAATTTACCTTGAATAGTTTATATATAAATTTTGGTCTTCACAGTTGAGAAATGTGGTAAAAAAATTAAAATTGTAATTAAATATATTTTATAAAATATTTTTTATTTTATTGATTTTGCACAATTGTTCATTTATAAAAAGTTATAAGAAATAATATTATTGAAAGCATGATCGAATATTAAATATATTTTTTTAATGAAAATTTTAACATTGTTTTGTTACACAGTGAAAAATTAGTTTATTTTGTTAAATTCAACTCATATTTTAAGCTTTTAAAGTCTTATATTTTTTTAGTATAGTTCTGAATTATTTAAACTAAATTTTTTATGTAAATTATTTAAGTTAAATTTTAACAAATTAAATTTATTTTTTTATGAAGTATTTAATAATAATTTTATAATGTTGATTTGTTATTTTCATAATAATTTTGTGATTTAAAAAAGAAAATAAAAAATTTAACACTGTAAAATGCAGTGTTAGTTGGTGCTCGCGCCACGGCCAACCGAACCCTGTCTGCCAGTTCAGCTAAGCTCATCAGATCAGCCTTCTGTCACGGGGCTAGTCTTTTGACCCGTGCGGCACTTAGACAACCTTCACTGGAAGTTTCTAAATAAGCCTAACTCGTATGAAAGGAGGATGCTTGGCTAAGAAGAGGAAAGGGAAAGCTTGAAGGCAAAGGAGAGTAGAGAGAGAATGTGAGAGTTCTATAGCTTTGAGAACTCAAGGATGATTTACAAATGAGGAGGGGTGAGGTATTTATAGGCCTCCCCTTGGATCTAGAATGTTCCCACCTCCTTAATGGACGGTGGAGATTAAATCTATCCTACGGTTACAATTGATTCTCTAGAATTCTCTTAACAAATATCTAGATATTTTAATGGAAGAATCTAGAGACAATATTAAAATATTGAGGCTAGAGTTGTGTAGGCTTCTCTAAAATGTTCTTGCACTATCTAGCACTCTTAAGGTTAGCTGGGAGCCTTCTGAAGGGTTCTGGAGCATTTCGGACCTCTTTAACCTTGTGAAAAATGACGAAACGTGACACTTCGCTCCCATTCATTTCTACACTCATTTCTGCACATCATGGGCTTGAAGACAACGCTGGTTAAGCTCAAATGTTTTTGGCCGAAAGCTTAACGTTACTTAATATTTTCTACATTATTATAATTTACTTTCCCCAATTTGAAACTCCCAAGCTTTCTAAGATTGAAGCAGACCAATTGCCCGCGCTGGAATTGCAATCTAACCCCTCTCACATTGCGCAAAAGGGTATAGAATCTAATGTTTCAACTACTTTGAATTGTTCACCCAATAAAACAAGGACTTCGAATTACAACATGCGATCATGGTCACAGTCAAAATCGTTTCAAATTTAAGAACACGATGATCGCTCCTAAAGTAGATACTTGGCCAGCCAGGGCAAATCGTTGCAGTTTCTGAGCGCAAATGCTACGTCATCACTGCCACAAGCAGCAGGGAACGAATCAAGGTGAAATTAATTTGGTTAATTGAAGGAGTAAAGAAACTAGGGAAAATTGAACACGTGCTGTCTAATGGGGCAGTATGGTCGCAACTGGAAAATGACGAGGGAAGAGAGAACTAACCTAGGGAAGTTAAGCTGCAACTTTTGCAACCTGTGCTTGGAACCTGCTTCACATAAAAGAATCCTGGATTCGCCCAGCTTACACCTGTCCAAAAAACATGTACAAGGATCACTTGGACATAAAGCTCAAGTTCAACTATTTCTGTCTACAAGCAAGAGAACGAGCGGTAATCATTCATCTGTTTTGCCTCTACCCAGACGGACAGCCACACATGTTCCCTTCTTTTCGAAAAGTCGAAGCCTTTGTTGAGAAAAGGCAAGTGGGAAACCGCAAATAGTCCATCGCGAGAGAGAGAGCATTGGGACAAGAAAGCATACCCAACTTGCAGGAGCGTATCGTACCCAGGAAAAACCTCTCCGTTGCTGGCGCAGAGACATGACACCGTCATTGCCAACTACATCCATAAATATATTACTTCACATAAGAACACCATCGCGAATTCACCTTTTTACCTTAAATTCTTACGAATATTAATAAAATATTAATGCAAATTTTGGCATGACATATCGAATCAATGTGCATATATTTATAAAAAAATGTTGCGATCAATTAGCTTCCTGCTATTTCTGTTCAATTACATGGAAAATCTTAGAATATCAAATCTCTAAGGACTGAGATGATGAGTTCAATGAGATTAACCAAGCTCGCGTGTAAAGTTAGGGTAAAAGAAAAATATAATAATGCCAAAAAGATATTTATCCTTCAAGGTTTCGACCAGAAAGCTGAAGTTTGAAGGTCAAGAACCATACATAAGACATAAAAACAAAAAGAAGCTCCAGCGCAGAACTGACCTTCTCAAAAGTGGTCTCGCCCATTCCTGTTTTGTAAAGCTCGTGCACCATGGCTGTCAAAAAGATTTTACTAAGTCTAGAACAGCTTTTCATCACCTTCAAAAGACAGAAATGGCGTACATCAGTGTGAAATTCAAGTAAAATGTTAACGTCATTCTATTTCTACCCGATGAAAGAAATACCAAGTGGTTATAATTGTAGCCAGACATTGATTTCAAAGAACGAGACAATAATTCTCTCATGACTAATTATGAATTTATAACAGACTATATATCAATTTGTCCTGCAAAATTACTGTCAGGAGAATTGAACAAGAACTGAGCTCAGATTGTTTATTAATAATCCTTAGTTATTTATAATAAATTGAAAATAAAACTAGCAAATCCTTAATCCTAATCAAAAAATTACTCCCTCCGTCTCAAATTATAAGACACTTTTAGATAAAATCTCACATACTAATAAACCTCATTACATATCTTTAACAACCTAATCTTTTCAGAACAAAAATATAAACTTCCAAAAATACCTATCATTTAATATATTGAAAAGAAAAGGGACATAAATTAATTATAGAGAGAAAAAGAATAATACTAGAATTGGTGCATTTATTGAAACCTTAATCTATCCAAAGTGTTTTATATTTTGGGACGAAGAACTCCTCTAAAAGTGCCCTATAATTTGGGCCAGAGGTAGTATTATTTAAAGTTATATTTAATCTATAATTTAGAAAAAATTAATCATGTTATTTTCCCATTCTCCATCTGGCTCTGTATTTCTTACACTTATTTACCAACATAGTATTGTCTATCGTTCAAAATAACGAAAGCTTGAAGAGTCAAGCTAAAACACAGCACTTAGAAAATTTCACCGCACTTGAATATGAGGGGCCTGAAACATTTCTTGGATGGCAACTTCAACATCTGCCATGGCAACAAGTCCCTTTCCTTGAAAGCAGATGTCAAGGAAAAATTAGTGAGCAGAAGAGCCACTGTAGAAAATAGGATTGTAGATAGTAAATGGTTGCTGTTGCTAATTAAACTTAAAAGTTAATACAAATCAATATATTCCATTTGACGAGGCAAGATGGATCATATCAAATTCGTAGATCAACATCAAGCATGAACACATAACATGATATTAAGCAAGCAAACAAGAAAGGTAAACACTCTGCTTCACATGGTCTTGAACAATTTCATGTTCATCATTGACAGAAGCCTTATGACATCAAATACCGGTGTAAATGCAATTTCTAAGTACTTAATGCGGGAGCTGATATGAAAATTTGCAACAATGAAATAACTATTGAAACGTCTTGAGCAGCTGATTTTCAAAGCCAAAAAATCTTTGATTTACTATGCTTGCAATGAAAATTTTGGGGGAAAAAAAGTTTACTCGATGCATAAAGTAATGATGGATAAGACCACAGTCATCCTAGTAATCACCGGCAATGCAAAAAGAACAAGTACGCCATATCATTCTATCAATGTGATTAAAGAAAACAAATGTTGAGATACATGCGTAAACTACAGTAAAAAAGCAAGCATTTATGGATATCTTATAAAATTTGTCCATTTCTGTCTACAAATTTAAAATTAAAGAACAATGTTGAAATTGTCTTACTTTTAGATTCCGCGGACAAACATAAATTTATTAAACAGGAAGTCGATGTCAACTGGATCCCTCTTCCCCTATCTACAATGATGACATGTAAATCATATGGGATGGTGTATTGGTGTGTTCACATACCTGCTGCAGCTAAGTCAGAATTTGAATGCAGCTTCTTAATACGATAATCTGCAATTTCCGCAGCACGTCTGCATATTTCCAAAGCCCGACGTGCATCCCCTGAGATTGCTGCAACCTGAATAAACACAGAACAATTTGGAAGCGAACTGAAGAGCTGTAATGCCAAAATTGATCGTCAAGGGGGTATATAAATGAACTTTTACCAGAGCCATGACAAGTTCAAGAGATTGGAAAGTTTAAGATTCATAGAAGCTTCATAGAAGCCTCACAACAAAATTAAGGAAATTAAGCTTCATGATGACACACAGACCAACCTTTCTTGAAGCAAATTCTATAGCTTGCTTTTCAAACACATTCACTCCCTTCAAGCGACTTGAAATGATTTCTTGAAGCTGCTGATAATTATATGGGCCAAAGCAAAGCCTCTGGATACCCATTCGACTTGATATACGAGGAAGTAACTTCTCTGGAAGATCCATGGTATTTGCAATCCCTAAATTCATCATTACTTAAGCATAAGTAGTTCAAGTCAACATTGTCATCATAATCATTATCACCTTGCAACTTCCCCTTTTTAAAATATGCTTTGCTTAAAATTAGAAGATCATTATGCAGAATAAATAGATCTAGCAAGAACTTAGCCTTACCTATCACAATTAGTTTGGAATGTGGCTTAGTAGGCCAATCAAGAATATTATAAAGCACCTGTAATAACAGTAAGATTCATGGCGATGTAATTGCATTTGTGAAGGAATGTGAAGCCAATAACATCAAAGTTCTGGTAACATAAAGCACTATTTACCGACTGATTTCTGGTTACAAGAAGATCAAGCTCATCAATTAAGAGAATGCATGGCTGATCAGCCTTTTCTCCGGTTTTCTTCCCTTCCACAAATCTCTCATTTAACAAGTGAAGGGCCTTTTTCCAGCTGACCCTGTGACCATTTAGTGCCTCATATATGACCTGAAAGAACATAAGAAAAAATAAGATAACTGACTAATGGTGCCATTTTATAAAACCAAAAGAGAATAGATCCATTGACCATACCCTGTAAATGTTCTCTGGAGACGCCAATTTCAAACCATTAATCTCCACAAAACAGTATGGCCTAATGGTTCCTGCATCAACTTCTAACCTCAAACTCCTCATTACTGATAGTACGCTCATTGTCTGCAGTTTCACAAAAGTAGAAGAACTAAATAAGCCAGACTTGCTCTATTATTGATAAAGCATTGCCAGATTAGAGCACAAATGTAGTCTTTTAGAAGGAAAAAAAAATTAGCACCTTGCCAGTTCCAGGAACACCGTGGATATACAAACAACGTCCGAGACATTGATCATCACAGATGGCACCTTTTATGAACGAGGTTATCTCCTCCATTTCTCTACATAAAACATGCATTGATTAGTAACAACCTAAATTTCTCTTTTTCTTAAGAGAAGTTTGAGCGTCCACATACTTATTCCTACAAGGTAAAAATTTAGGTAATGATGCCAGCAACAGCATAGCCTTTGCCCTCTCAAGATCAGTCTGCTTGTGATTCCTTATAAACTGAGGAATTTTTTTGGTGCCTATCTTTTGAAGGCCAAAAAATTGTACAAAGGAGTTTTTGGGCAGATTCTGTACAAGTAACAAATGCAAATCTTTTACAAAATTAACATTAAAAAAAAATGAATACAGTTAACAGTATCCATACTGCAGCTGGTGCGTGATTTGATGATGAGTGAGACTGTGGATCTTTTATATTCTCTGCATCATAGTCAACGTCATCATCTGTATCAAAATCTGATACCTTGCAAAGATTCCAATCTTCATCACTGTCAGATTCTTCACCAACCTACCATGCAAAAATCAATGCATAAATACTAATATCTTGCCATATGATTTTAAGTGAGCAGGATCATAAATATCTTTTTCTCTCTCCTAAAATAAATTACCTCATTGTCATTGTCAATCTCAGCAAGACGCTTGAAAGCATGCCAATGAATGTCATATTCATATTCACAAAAGAAAATATCATCTCCCTCGTTGGCCTTGGCAAATTCTTTGGGAGTCATGACAAAGCAATGTCTAATGACAGATTCCATCTGCAGTGCAATGTAGGAAAATCAGAATGATGAAAGCAAATCAGGGAAACTGTTTCAATTATCTTAAAAGTTACTTCTGATGGGATTGAAAACATCATTAATGTAATTATCAACTTTGAAGAAAGGGAGTTTTCTTGAGTGAGTGGCTGATTAGATCCAGAAAACTTTACTCAAAACAAAAATGTCATTAACCACAGACTGAAGGTGAAGAAAATTTCATGCCCTAAGCTGCACCGTGTGAAACTGATCGTTCAAAACCAGACTGAATTACCTGCAAATGAAAATGATACCTTACCAAAAACAAAAACTCTCGCTCTCATACTATCAACAAAGTTTCAAGCTATTTAATTATACCAAAAAATATATGGATAATTATAGAAACACACAAGTTAATTTTATTAAGCATATAGATGGAAAGAAGGAATATACATGTGGCAGTTTAGCTTAAGGAAGCCTGGATTCAGGATGACTGACACTATTTACAGAATCCGACTCCATCTCACAACTTGACAAGAATCAACAGAAAATTGAAATATGAAATAGTTGCATTATGATATTCAAATTTGTTATTCAATTCTCTATTTCCTTAAACGATTGAATTTGGCAACCAAAAGGCTTACTCTCTTACTGTTGAGAAAAAAACCACTCACTGTGATATTTTGAGACTGTACAAAGGATGACAGTTGCATTACTGCAAGCGGTTTACTAATCAGTGGTTAGTAATAAAAGAAGTTATTATCTGTCACCTCAATGTCTGCAAAATCATTTGTTCTATATAACTCCCTCTTCAGATTATGAGGTTGTCTCCCAATAGCTGTTTCTTCTGGGATCACGTACCACCTGACAAGACAACAATAGGTGCCATCCCCTTCTTTCCATATACTGTTACATAAAACCAACCAAGAAAAAGAAAATTTAAAGTAATTATAATTATTATCATAATTACTAAAAAACAACGTAACGTTATCTTATCGGTTAACAAAAAGATCATACCTTTCAATGTGAGCAGCCCACAAATCACTGGACAGAAGCTTCTCCCTTAGTGTCCTCACAAGCTTCTTACCCTCCGGAGGCATGGGAAAGCCAACGTCTTTACCTATCTTACGAGCCTCACAAAACCCACAAATCCAATCTCCTTCTGGAACCTCCTTTAATGGTGGAGTCAAGCATTTCAAATGAAAACCACCTAAACAATCATCACACTCAATCATAACATCATCCCCAGGACTAAAACACAACCGACATTCCTCCACTTCTGTGTATTCGTTATCTGAGTCGGTGTCTTCTCTCCTCTTCACATAAACATCATCGCCTACTTCGAACTCACCCCCATCGTATACCACTTTTTTATAATACAGCCGTTTCTTGGGCAACGTATTTCTCTTTTGCCCCTTCTCAGATTTCCCATTTCTTGCAACCATAGCTCTTGTAACAACCGTTCTTTCATCAACCTTCTTCCTCTTCTTAGTTTCCGATTGATCAGGTGACACTGGGGCGATAGAAACTTCAACTGAATCTGAATATTTACCATTTCTCCTCTTCGAAGTTTCGCCCCTCGGAGCAGATGTCGGGCATTGTGCGAATCCAGAGTTGCTCTCTTTGTTATGTGCTTTGCCGATTGAACTGTTTTCCATAGTTCTATTTCTACGGGTTATCACTTTATCTTTGCAGGGTTCTTCAGCATAATCAATCGATCGACGAGACCTGCTCAAATTTCTCCTTGGCCGAGCTTTATCCTTATTTGGAGTTTTTGACGAGTGTTCACGAAGCTCATCAATGCTATTGATATGTTTTTGAGGATCGACTGAATCAAAGGCCAGCAACTTACGGCGGGTCGACCTGCGAGGAGTTACAGATTGTGGGGTTACGGGATTTACTGAGGGTGAGAAATTAGCATCCAACTGGGTTTGTTGTTTGCATTTTGTAGGAGATCGAAGATACTTGCTGGGGGTTTCGGCCATTGATGGACGGACCAGGGGCAGTGCCTCTAGGATTCAGTGGAGTGAAGTAGAAGGGGCAAGAGAGCCGGACAGGATATTTCCAACTCCAAGGGACTTGAGCAAAATAAACTCTAGCAGATCCATTAGCGAGATGAGCCGGCCAAGCCAAGAGCAAGAAAATTGGCGGGAAACATTCCCTCTGGCCAGGAAGTCTTCAACTTACTTTTTCTTTTCTTTTTTCTTTTTAATAATTACGTTGAACTCCCGAAAAAATTAATTATTGTGAAGTTTATTAATAATTTTTTTTTAAAATTACATTTAGATTCTATAAAAATAAGTTTATTTTAAAGAGATTTTATAAATTTTATAAAATATTCTTAAATTATAAATATTGTATATTAACAACTTGATTAGTAATATTAACAATTAAATAAAAATTATTTATAACTTATTATCAATTGTTTTTTTTTTATACATTATGAATAATTATTATCTAATTATTAATATTTTTAATTAAATTGTTAATACATATGATTTGAAATTTAAAAATATTTTATAAAATTTATAAGACCTCTTAATAATGAATTTTTGTTTTATAGACTTGAATGTAACTTTTTTATTTTGTTATCCCTTAAAAAAAAAAAAGAAAACCTCCTTGTTTTTTTTCTCCTACCAATCACAATGTTGTTGCGCGCTTTTATGAATAAAGGGCCTGTAGCCCACAAAAGAAAATGGGTGCTCATTTATAAATGCCAAACAAATAGAGCTTTTGATCCAAAAAATGTAAGCTAAGGGCCTTCAATATTTCCTTCTCTAATTTCCTTTTTTAATGTTCCTTAAAATGTCCCGATTTTGTTTTATTTTTTCTTTAAAGCATTAGATTCTACTTAAAATAAAAGATATTTGAATATTTTAAAATTTTAAAATGGTAAAAATTTATATTTTTTATGATTTTTTTAAAAAATATTAGAATTATGTCCTTTTATTTTTGAAAAATTGGATATTTTTTATGCCCTTTTTATTTGAATATTTTTTATGATTTACCTTGTTGAAATTTTCTACAAGTTTTATAGATATATTGAATTGAATTGAGAAAAATTGTAGAGAATGTGCAATTTTTCATTTGATTTAGTTTATATAAGGAAACCATGAAACCTCTAGTCAGATTTGAATCCTCTACACACCCTTCCTTGATACATCTTTTCATATTTAATCCCATCCACCCATCTAATTATTCATTTGGTTGAACAGCATGAGATTTCTAATTATGACAATAAAATAGATATAATAGTCATTTAATGATTATCATTATTAAGCAATATGATAATATTATTTTTAAAAATATTTAAATAATGCCAATGAATAATTTGTTTTTTTAGTACCATAAATAGAAAATCTCACATCATTGAACCAAATTAACAATTAAATGCATAGATGTGATTTGATATGGAGAGATGTCTTTAGAGAGAGAGTACAGAGAAGATCCACACCTGCAACTAGTCTCTTATCTCATTTTCCTCTCAACGTACGACTTCATATAGGTTTTTCTTCACACTGTGTTGCTCAGATCTTGTTTTATGTTGTTTGGTTAAAATAAGGTGTATAATTCTTCAACGATAGCATACGGAGTTTGTGATATTTGTGAGCCGTATGCTTCTCTTTAATCTAATCATACAATATCATATTATATATATCAAATAATCACATTTTCAATATTATTTATTTCCTCTTTAAACCCTGATATCAAAATATGTTGGCCATAGAAGAGTAATTGAAAATGCATCTCCCTTTGACCGCGAGTTACCTTTCAAGAGTAAGATAGGAAATACAACGAATTGAAACTGCAATATTTCATGCTAAAAACCACTGAAACTGTATGTTTGTTAGATGTTAAGGTGAAACCGTGAAGCCAAATATATACATTTGAAAAGACATGATATGTTTAATGTCACTTTAAAGAGTTTTGAATCAATCATCTATTTAATGTCGCCATCGCTCCGCACCAAAAAAAAAAAAAAAAGGGCCAATACTTGGCGATATTTTTCCTTCCCGTACGCAGACTTGAATGTTACAAACTTATAGTGAAAAACACGGTCTTTATGGTTTATCGTCTAGAAACAGTGAGCATGGGAGGTCAAGAGTTCAAGAGCAATAACTCGCATGTATAAAAACATTACCAGTAGCCTACAGATCGATGCTCTGAAGCAGAAAGGCTTAGTGTGCTTCATATATTGTAAGAAGTGAAAGAAAACCTGAGACCCTCACATCACATGGTAGCCCAAATTGAGTAGCGTTTCGTCTTCTTGAGGCCGAGCAAGACGAGAAGTATGCCAAGATAGTCCAAATTGTAAGCCACTTCAAGAAGTTGAAACTTTTCAAGAGTCCATGGAGGATACCTAAACCAGAAATCAGTGTAGAGGCTTCGCTGCACAACAGCTTTCTCGTGACTGAATGCGTCAAATGAGAAGTTCCCATGATACTTGCCAAAGCCACATGCCCCCAACGCCTCCAAAAGGGATGGTATCTGCCACATACTTCACAAAATGAACGAGCCAAGTTAGACAGACTAATCATGCAATTCTCCAAGCAAAAATACTAAATAACAGAAGAGGGGAGATGAATAAATATATACTTGAAGAATTGCATCGTTGAAAATAATACTCCCAGATGAGGTTTCGGACGACATTCTTCTCTGCAGAGCTTTGTTGCTGGTGAAGGCATAGATGGCAAGAGGTTTGGGCCTCGACTTTATGAATTGAATACTATCTTCCATCTTTTCTAGCTGCACGAACCACCAGGAAAATGCAAATGTACATAAAGCTGCACGGGAGAAGGAGAGGCACCTAATCTAATCATCGCTGATTAACTAACTGCATGGCTTTCTCTTAGCCTGCTACGTATCTTACAGTAATAATTGGGAGCAGAGGGCCGAAGATCTTCTGTCATGATTGCGGATTCGAGTGGTGGATCCACCAAGACAGTTGGTTCAATAAATCTGCATGGAATTTTCACCACATTCATTTTTGGTCTAATCCTATAAAAATTCTTAATCTATATATGACAGCGTAACATCAGAGCTAGAAATCAGCAAGTGAAGGGAAAACAAGAAGGGTATTGGTTACAAGCTATCTTGGTCCATCGAACCGCCAAAAACCACCGATTTCTTGGTTGCTGGATCATCCAGCAGATTCTTCAGTCTCGAAAAGTGTTGTTTATTCACAATCCTGGCAACAGAGTTCAGTTCTTTGGGGTTTTCTCCAAACATTTTCTTAATCCAGGCCTTCATCGATTCCACCTGAAGAAAACGAGAGCAGAGACGGCGCGAGATCAGAGGAAGAATAGCAGCATGATCAAGATTTAATTTAAGCGACAAATTCTTCGCACCAAAATAGAAGAGAAACTCTTTTCTACAAGGACATAGTCGACTGCTATGCATGCTTGACCTGCACAAGCCCCGTATTTTGCGGAAATAATTCGTTTCACGGCCACCTGGCGGTTCAGCAGCCAGAGAACTCGGAGTGAGCAAACAATAATTAAGCTGGATTTTGTAATTAATTAATCAAGTCAAGCTTGTCCTGTTACATTTCTTAATTCCCCCACTTCATTATAATCTTTCTTACTAATTTCAGATGCTAAAACTTAATGTACCTGTGTGTCCCAAGAAGCCGAAAAGGAATCAACAACAGCAGGGCATTTTCCACCCAACTCCAAAGTCACAGGAGTCAGATTCTGCGCAGCTGCAGACATAACAGTACGTCCCACCCGGGCACTTCCTGATATTGCACGTTTAATTTAAAAAAAAAAAAAAGAATCTCATAAATGGTTGGTTAGAAGAATAAAAGTTTGAACATGTATATGTATGCTGTGTTGTTAGTCCGCAGAATTCAAACTCAAGTACCGTGGATGCCGTGTTTCAAAACCTGTGAAGAATATCTTGTCCCATTTTTGATGTAGGAGCTGCTCGCCAACTCGGGGTCCACCTTGGTATACTTCAATAGCATTGTTGTCCAAATAATCCGCAAGGATAGTTGCTAGAAGAGAAGAGCAAGCAGGGGACATCTCTGAAGGCTTCAGGACTACAGTGTTCCCCGCAGCGATCGCTCCTATTAGCGGCTCCAAGGATAGTCCTTTTATTTGAATGGAAACAGAACAACAATTCATATCAGCACGCAGTGCAAATAAAAAGCCGTCATTGTTTTGGATTTCCTATTCTCAGAGCTTGAAGCAGAAGGAAACTCACCGAAGGGAAAATTCCAGGACGAGATTATGAGGACCAGGCCAAGAGGCTCGGGAACAATATCTGCCCTGGCAAGCCCGGCTATTTTTGGAAGTTTAGCCTATCAATCCGATGCCAATACCACTTGATTATAACATGCTCATTATCAAACGTTGTATAATAATAATTATGATTATAATATAATGAATATATACTGTGAGTGGAGTGCTGCTGCCATCTGTATAAACTTGAAGACGGTGCGCATAATCTCACCTCTTTCCCTGCCATCCACTTCCTCAAAGACTTCAACGCCACATCTATGGACCTCCCTAAAATTCCTACCTGCGGCCCATACGAACCAAATCTGTGAGTGAAACTTTTTGTTTTCTTGTGTTTTTTTTTCCCCGGTGATATTAACCTTCTACATATATAGGTATATATGTGTGTGAGCGTAGAGAATAGACGAAGATAATACATAATCTGACTGACCTCATCTCTGAAAGCCTCGACATGATGTTTGCCTAAATCTTGCTTGAGCGCCTTCAAGATGTCTCCCTCTTTTTCCACGAGTGCACTGCGCAACCCTGTAAGCTGCGATTCTCTCCATGATGCTTCCTTTGTTTTCCCACTGTCGTAATACTCCCTCATGTCACTAAGCTCTCTGTCCAGACTTTCCGGTGTCTCCATGGCCAAGAAAATCTGACGCGCCCCAACTTCTCTGCAAATTATGAGCTACTAGGAAGGATATTTATAGCACGTTAGATCATGCAAACGATCGACTCCCAGATTTCGAAGTAGCACGCTAAATGACCTTTACGACCTCTTCCTGTTCTGTTGGGTTGTGTCTTCTTCGTTCAATTTAATACACCGACACTCCAAAAGCCGTAGCGTTGACATGTAATGTCAGGATTCACAGCGGAACAAAGACACGAGCCAGCAGGCCTCGTACGATCTATGTTTTGACCGGTGAAATTTTGCTTCTGGACCATCGAATGGATGGATTCTATATATAGGAATTGCCAAGGAGTTCATTTAACATGCCGTGTCTTTCTTTCAAGGGAAAGAAAAAAAATAGGCATGAAATACCTTTTTTCTTTTTTTAATTTTCTTGCGTGCATAGATGTCACATGGTAATCTGACAATTAACAAGGGCTAGCCACAACTTCATAATGACAAAATTCTTTTTTCAGTACAAGGGGATAAGCTAAACCGTTTGAAAGTAAGCGGGATCGCCCGTATATATATATATATATATATCCCACAAGCTGAGAGAAATTTGATCCCACTAGGCTAAGAGGTCATTGCCAGATGGCAAGATCCTATTTGTTTAATGTAGGAGATGTTGGCCCGTAAATAAATTGCCGCAACAGATCAGACCTTCACATTGAAAGCATATTTGTAGGTTTTTTGTTTAGGGCAGCTGATCTTCCAAAGATTCAAGGGATAGTCCGTTGGATCAATCTATTGTAACCCTGCAGCGCAGTAATTAAGCGCACATCAATTATCAACTCCGAATGTACTATACTTGAGCGGAATACATCCACGATGTACCACGTTATACAAGCGTTGTGTGGTTGCAAACTCGCAATTTTGTTGACTTTGATGAATAGAGCAAGTTAAATCTGACGGAGACCACGCCATCACTCAGTCTTCGTTAAGGCTTGGCTTAAGAATTTATAACGCAGTGGGGCGATTATTATTTGGTACTAATTCTTAAACTGCGCATGTTGTTTCATCTATCGGAAAGCCCATGAGGTGTTCGCGCTTCATCCCATCACATCATTGTCCATCGTATAATTAATTAGAGATGATCTTATCCCCTCCCCCCTCCCGGGCGGGGGCAGAGGCATAAATTCTTCAATGAACAATTTGTTAGCATTAATAGATAAAATTATTGTCTAAATTGTGCCTAAAGATATAGTCTTTAGGAGTTATTTCACCTGATTGTGCGGCAGCTTTTTATAATTAAATAAACTCTTCTTGCAAAATAAACAAACAAAGGCATAAAATAATAAAGACTAGCATTATATTCACTCAACACAACATGATGGAGGAACTCAAAAACTCAAGAGATGGACACCATATACACTACATTCTATACATAGGTACGGATTAGCTAAAGCCATAAAGCATGATTTAATTGTGAGTTACAAAACCATGATGTCACATGATTATAATTTGCTCTTGTGTTTCTAAATGTTTGGGAATTGAAGAATTCAGTTTTAAGCTTTTATGCAAAATAAAATCTGGTTAATGCACATTAAATAAACCCAAGGATAGTGAATTTAGACTTGAAATGCAAACTAAAGGTCTTTCAACAAAGAACATTTACAAAATTAATTTGACAATTTTTTCAAAACAAATTCAATAAAAAGAATTCAATGCCTTTTCAACTTACATAAAAAGAGTGTGCAAATTTACTTTTCCTCCAAACTTATTTATTAACTCATTTTTATTCTTTAGCATATATACACAGTATTTTTATATAGGTAATGTGAGACTTCTCCTTTTAACACACTCACACAATAACTACAACACAATTTCACAAAAGCCAATCAAAAAATAGAAATAACACCCAGGAGAAAATCAGTGCATATACTAGTAAAATATTAACGCCCGCCTAGTGCCAACACATGCTAACATGCGCACGAGTTATCTTGTAATTAACATACAAGGTTTTTTCTACATCCAAATTAATTATTCCGCGTGATATATATTATTCGCAGCTCATTCTTTTTTGTCGAGAAATTAATTGTGGAATTTTAAGCTAATTTGCCAATGAAATGTTCACATGATTGCTTGTCAAATTTCCTGTCAACGAGAAATTATTGCTTTGGTTCGTTAGTTATGGTTAAAAATCTTGTTACGATTTGTCTCTGCCAATATCAACATCCTTAATTTTTGAATAGTATGTCATAAGACCTTTGGATCTCCAATCCAAGTTGCGTAGGAATATTGCTCATCGATCCAGATATCCTAGCCTATAATATAGAATCTATTGGATAGAAACGAGAGTTTTACATGTATTACACGTGCAATTCAGAGTCCCTTTATCCGATCGAAGTCCAAACCGGAACATAGAGAAAGGGGGGTAGATGGAGGAGAAATAGGACACACTGTGATATAATAGGGTAGATGGAGGAGAAATAAGACACACTGTGATATAATACCAAGGCAAAAGCTAGAGGAAGTAGGAGCTCTGGGGTGGAGTCCAACATTTTTCAATCCAGTTGAAAGAAACGTACGTTGGATTCACTGTACCGAGAGCTCGAGCACCCGTACGTACGTGTAGCAGCGGGCTCAAGTTTTCAACAGCAGTGTCCTAGATGAGTGAGGTGCGTTTGGAAGGTCTTTTCAAGCCAAGCAAGACGAGAAGCAACCCAAAATAGTCATAATTGTAAGCCATCTCAAGCAGCAGCAGCTTGTTGGGAGTCCAAGGAGGAAATCTAAACCAGAAGTCAGTGAGGAAGCTTCTTTTGACGACGGCCTTCTGGTGGCTGAATGTGTCGAATGAAAACTTGCCATGATAACTGCCAAATCCACTTCCTCCTACTCCTCCAAATGGGAGAGTATCCGCAGCATACTTCACAGTTACACAACAAAGCGCAATTATTAATTAATCGACCGCCTCACATTCCAAAATCAAAGGCTATGTCAATGCTAAAAGGGCATATATACTTGTAGAATAGCGTCGTTGAAAGTCACGCTTCCTGATGATGTTTCGGATATCATTCTTCGCTGCAGCTCTTTGTTTTTGGTGAAGACATACAGCGCCAGAGGCTTAGGCCTAGAGTTTATGAACTCAATACCGTCTTCAACTTTGTCTAGCTGCAAAATTATAGGGCAGAAATTAATGGAAAAAAAAACTTCTTTCCTTGTATAAAATAGACACCAACGTGAGCGTACTTGACCAGAAAAACTAACAGCTTACCGTAATAACGGGCAGCAATGGGCCAAATATTTCGTCAGTCATGATTGCCGCTTCAAGTGGGGGATCGACCAGGATTGTTGGTTCAATAAATCTGCACAAAAGTAGTAGTTTTAGCTTTTATATTTTGGGGGACAAATCTGATTCCGTAAAACCAAATTGGCAAATGGCTGTGGGGCATATTTCCAAACTGAGATCAGTGGAGTAAGCTTATGATGTCTCGCTATAAGAGAAGTCCTCACCGATTAATGTGATGGGATCCTAATTAATGCTAGATCTAACGAGTTAAATTTGCAGAAGAGTGCAGGAGTGCGTAATTACAAATTTTCTTCATCCATTATTGAGCCACCATAAATCACCGATTTTTTGACATTGGCATCAGCAAGAAGACTCTGGAGTCTAAAGAAGTGTTGTTTATTAACGATCCTCGCAATAGCGTTGGTTTCTCTTGGATTTTCTCCAAACATTTTCTTGATCCAGAGTTTCATCAATTCCACCTAAAGAGACCAAGAGTTGACACATCCGGATGTCAAACTAAATAGGACTGGGCGGTGAAATGTGAATAACCGAAACATATATTGGGCAAGAAGAGACAAACCAGCGTGGAAGAGAACCTCTTCTCGACGAGGACGTAATCGACCGCTATACATGCCTGACCGGCACAAGTCCCATATTTGCCCACAATAATCCGTTTTACAGCCACCTTGCATTGAAAAATGAGTTTGAAGTTGGTTTTGATCGATCATATGAGATGAAAGGAGACATACAGAGGTGTAATACTAGTGTGAACCTCTAAGTCCCAAGAAGAGGAAAGGGAATCAACGAGGGCAGGGCATTTTCCGCCCAACTCCAAAGTGAGGGGCGTCAAATGCTTCACGGCTGCAGACATCACAATCCGGCCCACGCGAGCACTTCCTGCTCATTACGTACATATTGGTTCTCACAAATAAATACAAACAAAATATACAAGCATACGCTAGCCAACCAGCTGGCAGTTAAGACCCAGGTGACCTGTAAAGAATATTTTGTCCCATCTTTGCTCGAGCAGTTGCTCCGCCACTTCAGGCCCCCCTTGGACAATTTTAATGGCCTCACTGTCCACGTAACCGGTCAGCCCAGAGGCTAGCAGAGAAGACGAAGCACAGGACAACTCTGAAGGCTTTAACACCACGCTGTTTCCGGCAGCTATCGCTCCGATGAGGGGCTCCAATGACAGTCCTGCGTAATATTATATTAGCCGAGGATGCGCTCATTCTCTCATATAACACGCGTCCTAATTAAACTCTCTCCTTAATAAACTGCTACCAGTGCAAATATGCATATAGTACTACACTAGTAGAGGATACATTCTATTTATGCTGCATCCAGATGAGTTGCGTAACTCACCAAAGGGGAAATTCCAAGATGAAATGACGAGGACAAGGCCAAGAGGCTCCGGAACAATTTCCGCACTAGTAAGCAGTGCTATTTGCGGCAATTTGGCCTGTCAATGTATAATTACTCGCAAAGTTACTTCAGCTGTGTGGAAGTGATTTTTTTTTTCCCACTAACACTGAAAGCGCCGGAAGTGTCTCACCTTTTGGCCTGACATCCATTCTCTCAAATTCTTCAGTGCAAAATTTATGGACTTCATCACGGTTCCTACCTGCGAACATGCAGTGGATCACAGCGATGAGATGAAATGGTAATGAAGTGAGCGACTGTTGTTTTGAAGGGTAAGAGACGCAAACCTCGTCTCTAAAAGCCTCGACGCGATGTTTCCCGAGATCCTGCATGAGAGCCATGGAGATGTCTTGCTCCTTTTCAACCAGGAAACGACGCAGCCCTTGAAGCTGATATTCTCTCCAACTCGCCTCTCTTGTCTTCCCGCTCTTAAAGTAATCTCTCATGTTCTTGAGATCTCTCTCCCAGTCCCAGACTCTCTTGCTCTCCATGGTTTCATTCGCATGCTTCGTTTTACCACTCTGAGCCCTCTTTTATATCGAAATTGCTTCTTTAAAATTCCATGGCTCAATTAGCCCATGCTTACGCCAAACACAAGAAAATAACGGTCATCCTATATTCTTGGAAAATCTTCTTTTCTTTTGTGAAATATAATATGTTACTGTATGTTCTACAGTGAAAACAAAAGTAACATTTTTTAAAAAAATAAAATTTTGAAATTTAAAAATGATCTAAAAAATATTAATTATACTTAGCGAACTTGAATTTAAAAATTTCATTGATTATTTTTTCCCTTACATTTAAAAATAGAGGGAGTATTGTTAAATGTAAGTAAAATAAAAAGATATTTGATTGATTTATATTTGGACTGTTTTTATTTGCAAAGATATAAGGGATATGATATTCCGAGAGTAAGTACAGAATAATTTTTGGTTGAAGGGAATTTTCGAATATATTTTCCCGTATATAGAAATAATTAAATGTTTTGAATGTGGTGAATCACATATATTCTTTCTAGTAAAACAATAATTTAAATAAAATAAGTTAACAATATCTATTCGTTAAGTTAAAATACTATTCTTTTATTGTCTAGACTCTTTATATTCTCCCTGTTTTAAAAGTAAATAATATGACACCCTTGGCCAAGAAAGTGACAAATTATTTTGCTACAGGGTTCATGGGCAATGGTGAACATATTATTAGAAAGGTGTTGCTCTGTATTTGTGAGAAAGGAGGAGTGTGGTAGCTGTCACGGGTTTATTCAAATTTCAAACAGTGGATGACGCAGGTAGTAAAGATATGTGGAGGTGAGTGGAAGTCACCTTTCAAATATTCAATGAGACAGTTGTGCATGCCACATACTACTATATATATATATATATATATATATATGCTCACAAACTATACAATTCCATAGTCAACATGAATTAAGGTAATCTTGCGCAATCCCGCCAATAAATCACTCCGGCTCCCATCGCTATCGGTTAAATTGTAGTATTAGTAACATGCTTCTAATAGCTCTCATTTCTCTTTTTAAGTTGACATTCAATTCCTGTAAGTACGGAATGGGAAGTTTCCAGGTCTTTACTTTTACAACCAACTTGGGGACGCCTGAAGGGCCCATAATAAGGTCTGGTTTGGTTTGGTTCTCAGGATCAGAAAGGTGCCAATGGAGAAGAGCTGCTCTCTACCAGAAAAGACACATGTTGTGAGTGGCGTGGTGGCGTTAGGTACGAGTGGGGAAATCTAATTAAATACGTTTGCCGTACGGTTAAGTCCTAGAACCAACTGACCAGCAGGAATTAAATCTAGCGAGTAGAGTTAGTCTTCAATAATGTGATAAATCAAGATTCACATTTAATGCCTCCTTGTGACTTGAATATGACTGTATGCAATAAAAAGACACAAGTGTACAAATGAAAAAAAGTTCTAGCACCAGCCTCCTAACAAAGATAGAACTGACAAATTCACGGTACGAAGGCTAACCTCATCTCCCTCCCTGGTCCCTGTCATGCCACGCCACCTCTGCCTCAGTCCTCCTTATGAACTATGAGTCTTTAATTTGACAACTACCCACCCCGTCTTCTTCAATCGTTACTGCATTCAAGACCATGAATCCCCCATCCAGCAGCCAAAGGACACTCAAACACATAAGTTCACTGTTATTTTCCTTTGACCTAAGACTCTGTTTGGTTTAAGGGAAGGGGAGGTGAGGAGAGGGGAGGGGAGGGAAGGGAGGGGGAGAGGGGGGTCTCCCTCCAATTTGGGGGGGGGGGGGGGAAGGTTTTGGAAGGGAAAAATTTCCCCTCCCCCTAAAATTTCTCCTTTCCCCCAACCAAACATACCCTTAAGCAAAATCTCATTAACTCACCGCCCCTACCTCCCTTCTCTCTTCTTAGAGGGTTTTACAGGCAAAATACTCCCATCAATCACTGACTTCGAACCGCTTCCTCATTTATATTTCCTGTAACTGAAATACATTCAATCATAACTACAGGACTCAGTAATGAACTAATTATCAGTTAGATGAACAGACAACAACGTAGTTGAATAAAGAAATTGGTTAAATCAACCAAAATCGGGCCACTTTAAAAATAATCAATTCTGATCTCATCTCCTGTAAGAGAGTTCATCTTGTGCAAATATAAAAAACAAAAATGCATAAGGAAAAGATTATATACATATATATATATATAAACACAACAGACTTGACTACTTTTTTTTTTCCAATAGTTGCTCCCAGTTAAATGGAATTACATTGTCATTAACACATCATCTGCGACCAACTATACAGAATACATACAGACTCTACATGAAATATATGCTTCTCCCAATACAAGATCATTATGCACCGGCATGCACCCTCGCAAGCAAAATTTGCCAGAACATGTAGATGTAAATTCTTCTGAACTTTTAAGATCAGAATATCTACATCTATGGTGGCCATTCTTTTCAATTCTGACTTGTTTGCCTAGTGGCAGCAACTTCGGAATGTCCTCCCCTTTCATGATGCTGAGTACTGTTTGCGGAATCACGCGCCTCTTCTTGTGGGCTATCTGATTTAACTTTGATCTTGACTGGATTCCCTAGCTTTGATATATCTTCCATCCTTGCAATCTCTAAAGCTTTTGAACAGACAGGAAAACCACGGCCATCCCATGACTCCAATATCACGCCAGAGCCTATGCAAGTTCTTCCCTCATAGAATGCTGCAAACTGCCCGGCTGCCAGGCCTTGATCATCTTCACTCAAGTGGACTACTGCACTGTCCTTTCCCCCATCTCCATCTCCTTCCCATTGTAAACTGCAAATATAGAAAACCTGACCATGTCTTACCTGAAAATATTTTACATACAAGATATTACAAGAGATAGGAACATTTCTCACGCTAAAGAAAAGAATGCTGAACCCTACACCTATCTCAATACAAGAATATTACTCTTCGTTTGCATTTATTGCATACTATTTAAAAACCATAATAATCTGGTGGAGCAGAAATAATGACAGATCGCTTTCAGCTCAGCCACTTGGTCTTGTAATGTTCCCATTTAGGAGTCTCCATCCTTGGATTGAATTACTTTTTCTGATAGATTTTCTTAATGAATTGCATGATTGCATCACCAAAAATAAAAATGGGAATCAGAGTTTAAGCTTTCCACCTTGCACTGAAGCTGGCTCGTCTGGCTCGGAGGTAGTCCATTAAGCCATTTTAAAGAACCCACACGAAATAGGCGCCTTCTCTTGTCCAAGGAGAAGTAATTTCTTGACACAAAAATGACGTTGTTTTTTACATCCTTCTCAACAACGTACCTGCATTAAATGTCAAATGAGATGAGATATTCTTTAACAAGCCCAAAGTTGCCCGGATATGTTGTCCAAAAAAAAAAAAAACACAAAAAAGCCCAGGATATGAATGAATTGAGAGCATTTGTCACATGACTCTAGGTGGAGATAATTCTTGGGGTGAAAGATTGCTGGTACCCAAGTGAATGATCAAAAGCTTAAAATTTTAGATAGCAGCAACCAATATATATACAGACACACAATTTTTGCACCTACAAGATATATCTCCAATAAAGTGCAATAAAACGTATCAGATAAATACAATTGATGCTGGAAAGAAATAGCCAGAGAACAAACCAAGGGCCTCCAGGTAACCGTAGACCCTGGCGTTGACCAATCGTATGAAACCAGAAGCCCCGATGTTTGCCAAGGAAATCTCCAGTCTCGGCTTCCAGTATGATGCCTTCTCTCTCTCCAATGTGTCTTGCAACAAATTCACTGAACTTTATCTATGAGTCAAAGGTAAATACATATTATATTATACAACAAGATTATCTGCAAGAAGCCTTATGAGAACAACAAACATGTGAATTAAGTAATCGGAAAGTTCAAGAGCTTGATTTTCATTTTGATAATTTTCATTCAAAAGAATTTGGAGGATAAATCCAGATATAGATGAACCAAATATTTCTTAGCATATTGATACAGATTGATAATTTGTGCTAATACCTTGCCTAGAAAGCATATTCCTTGTGAATCCCTTCTATCCTTATTTGGCAGATCAAATTTTGCAGCAAGTCTTCGGACTTCATCCTGCAGATGATTTTGACAGGAGACAAACAGTATAATGTGACAATTATCAAACTTTCTCAACACAGAACATAATAATCAGGGAAACGTACTAATACCAAATTGTCTGGCAAATGTATTCTGCTGTAATACTTGATTACAAAAAATGCACTAATAACAAATGACAAAATTAAATGCTAGGTAAGGATTGCAAAATATTAATCACAACAAACCTTGGAAATACAACCAAGTGGAAAAATAAGTCGCTTCAGCTGGGATTGGGAGAGGTGTGAAAGGAAGTACGTTTGATCCTTGATCTAAAATTTCAAATTAACTTTTAGAACACAGCAGCATTGAAAATTCTTTCAAAGCAACAAACATATTTGTGTATCTCATATGGGTACCATGTCCTGAGATAGTTCCAGAACAGAAGGCTCATCTATTTGATCTGCATGTGGATGGACAACATTTGCATAATGTCCAGAGGAAACATAGTCAAACCCCATATTGCTGATTGCATCCATGAATGCACCTGACAAAACAATATTTGCTTAATGAAATAGGAAAAAAGTACCTAAAAACACACAATGTGGGACTCGATCTGCTGGATGCATACCAAACTTTATTCTGGTATTGCACAGAACATCTGGATTAGGTGTGCGGCCACAACGATACTCTTCAATCATGTAAGAAACCTGATACGCAGGTGAGTAACCCAAATAGGAGGCAGAGGCATAAATTATAGATCAATACTACTGCAATTCAATGAGATTTATAGATAATCAAAAAATTAAACAGCAAGAGTTGCACATTGATAACAAAATGCTGAAAGGGCTTTACATACCACATTTTTCCAGTATTCATCTGTCAAATGCACAACTTCTAATGGTACATCAACCTGAAAGAAAATAACATTTGCATTTCCCTCGATGATGTAGTTTTCACCATGAAGCATAACTAAAATCACAATGTATTATTCCGTCTAATATAAGAAGCGAGTACAGAGATGATAGGATCCAAAATAAGTAGAAAGAAATAAGGAAGGAAAAGTCTTTATTAAAATATAAAATCAAAATGTAGTTTCATAAAATTAATAAAGATGAAGTAAAATCTCTATTAGAATATGAACAAGGATATTTAAATCATACAACTAATAAAGCCTAAGGAGAATCTCCCAAAATTACAATGAATCTCCAATTCTACTGTGTTTATCCCTGCTAGGTACCACATTATCTTATTTGCAATTTGAAAATGGGCATTAAATATTAAATAAAAAAAAATCAGAAAATAACTTACTAGATCCTAATCATCATTGACTCAATAATAAACAAAACCTAATTAAGATATTTATAAATAATATCTCTTTGTTATTTGTATAGAAAACATTTTAAAAACTAAAAAAATGATAACAAGTTGATCCAATAACTTCACCCACTGTCGCATAATATACAGTACTCTATCAAGGGCCTTCTCATATATTTGGCTGAAAGGAAAACCTGTACAGCTAAGCAAATAACAAAATTTTTGTCTCCTTGATTAATGTTAGCAGTAGGTGCAAACTATCAAACATCACCATAAGCCTGCGGATAAACTAGCTTACAAAAATCCGAGGAATAACTCAATCTTTATACTGAAAGATGAAAGTGGCATATAATTCAAGAACGAGACCTGATTGCAAACAGCTCTGGCATACTTTAAATCCTCTTCCCATGGGCATTCTGACCAAAAGTTTTCAAAGTCTTCCTGCAGAAAATCAGGTATCAAGCCAGCTTCTCCTAATGCAGAGAATGCAAATGCCAGATGAACATAAACATGTGACCACTTAATGGGGATTATTTAGGTTGATTCTCTGCCACCTTAATACCTGGATTTTAAAAAAGGATTCCCAACTCATTTGGGTACCTATTAACCGGTATCAGGTTTGGGAGCTGGCGGAAGCTTCTCATCCATGGAGGGTGCCAGAAGTGTAGCCATCTCTGGCCACAGTATAAATTGGTTGTCTCACCTCACTAACTATCTTTTGGGAGAAGTTCTCATCCCACTTGGGCAACCATCACCATTGTTCAGATAATGTTCAATTAAATCAAAAAGAGGAGGCTGAATCAAATAATACTAGGAAAAAAATTGAAATTTAACCAACACAATTTCGGTGATGTACTTTTTCAGTAGAAAAATTACTGAATTCACTTTATCCGATAACGTATTCTTCTGTCTTCATGAGCCAAAATGACTATACAAGTTGTCAATTTTATGGTTTCTGCTTCCGTTTACGTCTCAATAACCGTGAGAATTAAAAAATATGAAACTTGTTTCTGTAGCTGACTGACGCGACGCTCGTCTCAATCCATATCCTAGAATCATAGAATACTAACAAACGACTGCATTGTCATAGCACAGGCAGCTAGGAAAATTAAGTCAGGATAGAGGAGACACGATGATTTATAAAGAAGAAGAACGAGAAGCAATTTTATAGTGAGGTAACAGAGCAAAGAGGCGCACTTGGAACCATATCTTGAGGTAGAAAGCAGTGCAAGAATGGCCAGCAGAGTGGAGTAGGCGGAGAGCAACACTGCTATCAACGCCGCCGCTGAGAAGAACGGCAACTCTGAGACGCTTGTGCGGCATGGAACAGCGCAGGTAGGGCTGCACCTCAGCATTAAAGGTTGCCGAAGAAGCTGGGACTTGGGCAAGCGCAGAACAGTGTCGAAGGAAGTGTTTAATGGTGGGGAAGCGGACAGGGGATTGAGGGCAAGGAATCGGGTTCAGGATGAGCCTCTGCAGTTGGAACGAAGGGAAGAACTGAGTCAGAGAAAAAGAGGTTAGCGGCTGCCTCCAACGCAGGTTCGACAGTGCCATTTGCCTCATCGCCCTCGATGCCGAGGCCCGAGATTGCCCCACAAATCACAGTGGCAACATCGGAATTCAAGAATCATCGACAGCTTATGCCAAAAATTTAAAAATAATATATATATATATATATATATATATAACAAATCGATAAGGATATTAGCAAAAAAAAAAAATCTATTCTATTGAACTTTAATCCGTTTACAATATTTTTGTCAATTTTTTTACTTTTTATTCTCGTCAATTTTAACCGTTCAAATTTTAACAATTTTAATTTATTTATGCATTTTTTGTTATTTAACATTATAATAATATTCCTATCAAATATTATATTTCAACCGTTTAATGTTGATCTAAAAGTGAGGAGGAAGTAAAGAATAAAGAAATTACAAAGCATTCTTCCCTTTTTGATGAGCTTGAGGAAATAAATGCCTAATGGATGAAAGGGGAAGAAATTAGAAGTTGTTCTAAATTTATGGGATTGATATAATGAACGTGATAATCATTTTTCTTGTTTTAATTTGCTTTAGGAATTATTTTGGTTCTATTAAAGGTATTTTTTTAATTTTTTTATTATTATTGATAATTATCCTTTTATTAAAGGTAATCTTATTCGAGGCATGATTAATAATAAATGTAGGTATTTTTCTTAACAAGAATTTAAACTTTGATTCGTTATGTTATAAGGGACTAATTCCTTTTATTAAATCTAACTTTATTGATAAATACATTCTTTTTACTTTAATTAACAAAGTTTTTAGTTCCACAATGCTAGTTGTCTCATTTTATGAATATTCTTTCACACACACATATATATAGTGTATTTTTCATGCCTTCCAAAAATAAGGAAGAATATTTACAAAATGAGAAATGTTAATTGGGCGATAAGAAAGAACTCTTGCAGATTTCATGAAAATTTTCTTCAAGAATCAAGACATGGAACTTGGAAGACACAAAAAGTATGAAAAATGTTTAATTTGTAGGATGAGAGAGATTACTTGCAAAATGCTGATCTCACTGCCTGGGAAGTCTTTTTAAAATTCTACACATGGCAAAACTTAAAAAACTGTGCTGTATGTGCAGATAAGTATCAGCTAACAAATTAAAGGAGACCTATTATTTATAATTATGTTATTATTAATTATCTGCCTTTCCTGGTTCATGGTGGTTGGTGGTTGCGCTTTCTCTTACTAGGTTTGGAATATTGTTGTTGTAGGTGATTGATGGGCCCTTCTCGTGTAAAGTCATGCTTTCTTCTCAGCTGATCACGGTGGAGAGAGCTTGTCAAAAACTAAAGCCTTTCACATTCATGATCATGAGAAGGATGAGTAATGAAATTTATAAAATTAAAAATCATGATCTCTAAAATTTGTGGTGATTTTTTTTTTCTTGAATGGAAAGGCAAGCTTGAGGCTTGGTGAAAAGTACAACAAACTAAGTAATGTTTGAGCTATTCTCACACAATATTGCGTGCAAATAAAGTGGTATTACATGTAAGAATTCAATAATTGTTTCAGTTTGATGACTATGTTTTGCTAGATAATCAACACATTGTAACGCTTCTCGATAAGCATGATGGATCTCCACCTCTCTGTTGTTATAAATGAGTTCTCGTATATCATTGATATCAGTCCTCCAAAATGATCCACTACATAGTCTTGTATCATGTTAATGGCATTCAGTGAGTCAGAGTATAGAATAATTCTGCTAAATTCAAGTTGGTAGGCGACCTTAAGTCCAGTTTTAATGGCTATCATTGTTGCAAGCACAATCGAAATATCTCCTAATGCACATGTAAATCCACAGATCCATTCACCTTCGTTGTTCCAAATCAAACCACCACATGAGGCATTCTTCCAAGGTGATATCAAGGCATCCATGTCAACTCTTATAGCATTTTTTGGTGGTGGCATCCAAGTATTCTTTGTTGCAATGAGATTGGGAAAAACATGTTTAAGATTCCCAGAAGCAACATGTTCATGAATGTGAAAGAGGCAGCTATGAATTAGCTCTTGGGCAGTGAGTCTTGATCCTTCAAAGATGGTGTGAACACTGTATTTTGTTCAGACATTTTTTTAATTTAAAAATAATAATAAATAACCAAAAAAATATAAAAATACAAAAATAAAATTTAATCCTTTCTAGGATTATATTTTCAAAACAAAAAAAATTAATTTAATTAATAGGGTTTAATTTTATTTTAGATAATTTTTTTGTTAGGATTTTATTTCTTTTAGTTCATTAAAATAATCAAAAGATATAAAAATATAAAAATAAAATTTAATCCTTTTTAGGATTAAATTTTAACAAAATAAAAAAAAATCTTATTTAAATCTTTTAAAATCTCTCCCAAATTATTCCAAGCATTCAAAAATATTAGAAGTTAATTTTTTTTTAGACTCAACTATTTTTAAATTTCTCTCCTTAAATTTTTTTGTTTTCCATTTAAATATATATATATATATATATATTTATTTTAAAATTAGACTTTTCTTTCTCTCCCCTAATCTAATTAATAATAATAAAAAAGCATTAAAAAAAGAACGGCTGAAAAAATGCTAGACATGCACATACAGAGCTTGAGAAGCTTCACAGAACAAGCAAACACAGCAACAGACCAGGGAGAAGCAAGTGTGCACAGTGAACACATGAAACTAGAGTCACAGACAGCCAAAAGAAATAAATCTTTCTCGATCAGGCGCTGCATAAGGAAAAAGAAGAAAGCCGAAAACACACAGAGAAAGACAAAAACGCATAAGGAAATTCAGACGCACACCCAGAGCATGCACACATGAAACACATGCATGCACGCAAAAGACAGAGAATAAAGCTTCACTATGTAGAGGAAACACAGACACACATGAAAAACAAAGCAAAAAACTGAAGGAGGAAAGAAGCATAAAAAGGCAGGAGGAGTATCGAAAATAAGGGGAAGGGAGACTGAAAAAAAAGAGAAAAAGAAGAGAGAGACCGAGAGGGAGAAATAGGGAAGGAAAAATAGAGCATAAAAACATAGCACGCATGCATGGAGAGGGTGAGAGAGGCTTGTTAAAAAAAATAGAGCATGGGATGGACGAAAGTGCAAAAATAGTGACATGTATGGGACATGGGTTTTTAGGCTAGAACGAGAGAGCACAGAGACGGGAGGAAAGTTGAGAATGAGAGAGCATAGATGCACACAAGGAGAATGGAAAAAAAAGGGGTTGGAGTGACAATGAGGAGAAGGCACAAAACAGAGCAAAAACCGAGGAGAGAAAGGGAGCATCGTGCAGAAGGAGAGTAGGAAGGAGGATGGTATCAAAAATCACGAACTTGTTGTAGCAGAGAGTGCTCATCAAGCCTTTTGTACTCTGATGACACTGAGAGAGAGAAAGAGCAGTGACTGAATGTAGGAGACAGAGACGGAGGAACGAGAAATAGATCAGAAAAAGATGAGAGGGAGAGACCAAAAACTAGATGAAAAAATAGAGCACCAAGGAGTACACGGCATAGACAAAGAATAGAGAAAGCAAAGAGCAAAAAGAAAAGAAAAAAAGGGCCAGACATGCATGAAAAAAAGAGAGAGGAGGGTGGCTTCAGTAATGAAGAGAGCTAACCGAAAGAGAAAAAGAGAGAACCTGTGATTTTGGCTTTGGATTTTTGAGGTGGAAATGAACCGAGAGAAGAAGACAAAAATAATGAAGGAGGAGGAGGAGAGAGAAGCTGACGAATCAGATGGAAGGCAAAGATGAAAGGTGATGATATGGAGAGTAATGGCTCAGTATCAAATGGGTAATAATTTTGCTTTTTCATTCTTCAAAGCTTAATCTGTGGGATTAATGGAGTAACTAGGGAATTTCAAAATTTGTCTAGATTACATGATTTATTTTGTGTGGCATTGTACCAAGTTATGCATTTGGGGATTCTCCTTGTCCTTTTGTATGTTTTAGGCTATCATTGAAATTATTTCTGATTGTGAGCTTCACAATTATTTTTTGGTTGTAAAATTCTTAATAATGTATAATATTTTAATCTATTTGTAGTGTGAGATTTCAAGAATCCCTGCAAACATTTAAATTTAAAATGATCCTATATAGTGAAAATCAATAAGATTTCGCGGGTATGAGGATCAATCTTGTATAATAATATAGGTTTTAAAGACTCATCATCAAAATTAATTTTTATTTTATAATCAATAAAATATTTAAGTCTCATGAGAGATGTAACATCCTAATTTTTAGATAAAAAAATTTATGAAACTTAAGTTTTTTTTTAAATAATGATAATAATAGGAATTTATATTATTTGAGGTTATTTGAAAATAATAATATGGTTAGACATTTAATTATGAATTAAAAACTTAAGTTTAAAATTATATAAAAAATATTTTGTTAAGATATAATTTTAAGATTTAAAAAAATTATTATTAATGTGTGTGTGTGAGTTAAAAAGAAAAAAAAAAGAAAAGAAAGTAAAAAAAAGGGAGGGGGTTTAGTCCCACATCGGTTAGATGAGGGAATGAAAGGCACCTCCTCATGTATAAAAAAAAGGAGGTGCATTATGGAGGAAGCATGAGGAATTTTTTATTACAATTTATGAAAATTGCAACTAAGGGCCCAAGATGCAATTTGTGAAAATTGCAAGTAATGGCCCAAAGGTTTAAATAATTAAATTCAAACCTATAGTTTTTTTTAATATAATTTTGGGACCACAATTCCATTTTTATATTATTTTTCTCTCTTCCTCTCACGTTGCTCGGCGTTTTCTCACAAAGGGAGATTATTTTCTTTTTCTTCAGGTATGTTCTAATTTTCCTGTTTAGATTAGCATTTAAAAATTTATTTAATTACAAAATTAATTTTATAGTTATTTTCTAAATAATATTAGCTTTCTAGTGATGTGATTATTTTGTAGGATAGAGTAAATATTCTGATTAGGATTTTTCTATATGATAGTTAATCTGATGATATGATGGATTAAAAATATAGGGATATAATAAATATTATAGAATATTTTTTTGAGGTTGAAACTCATGTTTAAGAATTTTTGAGTTAAAATCTAGATCTATATGGTTGAATTTATGTGGAATCTGAGATGTAGGGATAAACTTATGATTATTAAATATTTATTTAAGTATGAATAGGTTTTTTGAGGTTATAGAAAGGTGATTTGAGGCTTCAGGATAATTCTAAAATTTTTAATTTATTTTTGGATGAATTTTTAGAATATAAAAGGATGAAATTGTGATACGAGAAGTGATTTGAGGATAAAAAAATAGTTTATTAGGGTACGAGAATTTTAGAAAAAGAATTTGAGAAGTTAAATGAGGCATAAATCTTAAATTAGTGTTAATATGGATTATAAATCTAAGACTTTCTAACTCTTTAAATTAGAGTTATTTATTTTAATGTAAAATTAATATATAGTATTGTGAAATAATTATGTAGATTATATTGACAAAGATAGTGGTGAAAAAGGAGTTGTAAGGGGAACTTGTTATTCAAGACACAAGGTAACCATTATTAATGTGTTGTTATGGGTGTGTTTGTGAATGGTTATGTGTTGTTTTTATTGTTTGGAAAAATTATGAATTATTAAAAATAAATACTGTATATACTTGTTTGAAATTATTGCCAAGTGGGTTAAAAAATTTTATTTTTATTTATCATGATGAGATATTATTGTTTGGATATATTTCTGTTCGGATATTTGAATGATGCATGACTTGTCAGGGTATTTTAATGTATGGTGTTAATGGAAATTTCTGTTCGGTTAATTATTACCACGTGGTAAGCCCTTATTGGACCCAATGAGTGGCGTGTCGCTTGGTCCAACTCACCTTTGGCCGGGTGATTTGGCGTCCGAGCATGACGAAAGGAGGTTATAAGGTGTAGTCATGCAAATTAAATACTTGTTCGGTTTGTTTGAAAATATTGTTCAGTTAAATGTTTTATGTGCCCACTTAGCAATCGCATGATTAGTTACATCCGCATGCATCATTACATATTAATTTTTGGTTACTGGGACTTTTAAGTCTCATTCCCCGTGGTTAATATTTTTACAGGAGCGAGCCCGGCCGAGAAAGCACCAAGGTGTAACTATGGTGTATGAGACACCATCTTTTACGTTGCCTCTTATTTTGGATTATACAATGTATCTTGTGCCAACTTAGGACATATCTTTTTTGTGAAGCATGTAAACTCTAATCCTTTTTATTAAAAGTATCTATATGACCAAGAGGATTATGGCTGTCCCTCTTGATTTATGATCTGATTTGAATATCATGCCATGAGGATTATGTCTGTCCCTCATAGTTTTAATTGCCTTTTTAGATATTTTAAGACTTGTGTTATGTCTTGGATGTATCATGGTAAGAAAATTTTCTACCATGATAATGGTTTTAATAATTTGCAAAAAATCGATTTGTAAATTTGAGGGTGTTACAAGAGATTTCAAAAATTTTTATAGAGAATTAAATTAAGTGCATTATTGTGTGGGATAATAAATCCTTGTAGGTTTTGTGATTCTCAATTTATATGATAAATAAATAAATAAATTTTGTAAATAAAATTATAAATGTTTGTTTTATATAATAAAATTAATTAATGAAATTAATGTATTAAATCTTTTGGTCATATGAGATTTTTGAATGTCTATAGACCTCTAGAATAATTATCTTACCTTAAAAGTCAATAAGACTTCGCAGGTATAACGATTAAGATTTCTATGTTTAAAAATATAAATTGTACAATTACGCTTTAAAATATATATTATTTAATCCTTTATTGTGTGAAATTTTTGAATCTCCGTAGATATTTAAGATAATCATATTACCGTAAAAGTCAATAAGGCTTTACAGATATAATAATTAGAGTTTTTTAAGATAAAAAGTATATATGTATGAATGCACTAGAAAAAATGATATTATTAATATTTAAAAATTTAAGTAAATAAACTAAATTGTTAAACTCTTTTATCGTGTAAGATTTTGGATTCTCAGCAGATATAAAGAATAATTATATTACCGTATGAGCCAATAAGGCTCTACAGGTATAATAGTTAAATTCTTGTTCATAAAATATAAAAAATAAAAATAAAAATAATTCTTAAACTCTCTTCTTTTATTTATTCCAAAAACTCAAAAATTAAAAAATAATTGAAATTAAATTACTTTTTGCAATTTAAAACACACATATCAAAATTTTAGAAATTATTTTATTTACAAAATGGTGAATTATTTCTAATTAATTTCTCTTCAAAAAAAATATTTTCACCAACAAACTTATAAGCCTAAACTATGTAAACTTTGATCCCTATCACAGGATACGTAGGCCTCAAAGTCGAATTTTAAGTCAAGTCCTCCCTCGTAAATAAATAAATATTTTTCACTTAATTATTATCATTTTTATATCAAATACAAGAATAAGAAAAAGATAATTAAAATAATTTTAAAACCATATTAATAGAGTACAACAAACTTCAGGTAATCGTTCTAACAAACAGGTATTGCAGGGTGCCTAACACCTTCCCCACACTCAATCAACTCCCAAATCTATTTTCTGTTTTCGCTGACCACCCTTATCCTCCTTTAAATGATTTTTCAAGATTTTTCTCAAAATTTTGGTAGCAACTTCCATTTCTTTAATTTCTTTTTGAAGGCCGAAACCTCCACTCTCACGCCATCCACATCACATTTTCTAGGTGCGACAAATGGCTTTACACCTATTTTTTCACAGTAGCTAGCATCACAGTCCAAATATTCTCATGCAAGACCATTCACAAAAGGTATTGTTAGGCGGATGGTGCTTGGAGTTATAGTTAAACCAAACCTGCAAATTGCATTGAAAGAAACTAGAGTAAAGGTTAGTCGAGATCAAGTTTTCAGAAATCCTAGGCAATTTGGCAATCGTGAATAATATGTTTGACACTTTCCTCACCATGACACTCAAATGGGCATTCATCAATTGGTGAAAGCCTAAGATTGGCTCTTGGTGAGTTAATATTTAGTCTCTCATGAAGTGCTTGCTAAAGGAAGAATTTAATTTTTTTCCTGAAATCTACCATTTCCAAATCTTTTTCTAAGTGGGTTCTCTCACAAGTTCACTGTTATAATAAATAAATTTTACACTGAACCTACCATCTGCATAGGGTCTCTAATAATAAGAATCTTCATTGGTGGAATAAGGAAGAGGTATGGAACAAATTTTATTCACAACCCAATCCGGTGGGAAGCATTTCCAAGCATTGATATTCCAAAAGCCACTAAGAAGAATAAGGTCTTTGACTGATACACAAGGATTAAGAATATGATGATTTTTGTCCACAAAAGTGATAAGACGATGATCCAAAGGAGACCATGAATCCCACCACCATCTCATATTAAGGCCATATCCCAATCTTCGACCAATACCTGACTAAAAAGAGTCCCAAACAATCATAATGCTCTTCCAGATCCATGAAGAATTGCGTTTCTTGCATATAGACAGAATGGGGTGATTTTCATATTTGAGACATGTGATTTTTTTTTTTCATGTTATAATTATCATAAGAGATTAGATAATTTAATTTTTTTTTAATCCATTCCTTTCATGTAAGGAAACGGGCTTATAGAAATTTTGCTGCTTTCTCAATTGCATTGTGACTAATCATTGTATGCTTTGAATTTAAAACTTGATCATCACGCGCTGCATAACGGCATATATGCAATGGAAACCTGAGGTTACCCAATCATAACCCTTCTTCAAACCTTTCTTGCGTTCCACCTAGATAGTCACGATGCACGTATTGCATCGTTCCATCAGCCCATGATTGTTTGATCTATTCCCATTTATTATTAATACTGTTTAAACTCATGTTTTGCAGGTTGTAATCCTCCCCGAAGGTTGCAGCACTGAAATGTCAATATCTAGGCTCCCTCCTCTATAAAAGATGGTATGAAAAGTCAATTATTTGTTGCGCCATTTCTTTCTTCTTTTTCTCCCGCATGATTCACCTTTGTTTGGGGAAAAGGATGCGCATAACATTAACACAAGGCTGAAAGCCCATCACTTAGCTTCCTTCAATCACAAACTATTGAGCTCTTTTAATTCAAGATTTTACATTTAACAAGTCTGCAAAATTACGACTGCTCTATTTGACCTTTGAAAATCACGAGTCTGTTTTTCCATTTTCTCCTACTTTTAGTGAAACTTGAACACTCAGATCTTAAGGCCGAAATTAAACCAAAAAAAATTGAAGCCTAGCTGATCTATAAAATATTATATCCCATCACGCTATCTGAGAGATTCAGGCCACATCATGATCAGCTTACACATTGTATATCTTCAACTACGCGGATACCTCGGGGAAGAGGGAGGGGACGTAAAAAACTTTTCCTGGTTTACAAAACAGATTCGCATATACCAAGGGGTTCTTGTGCTGCCAAGGATGATGACTAGTTAGCTTGTGAGTGAAGTTAAATGAGCAGAGAAAATGACACAGCCATGGAGTCAAAAACGAGACGACCACCTACTCATCTCGTTTCCATCAGGTCCCTCTCCGGACCGTTCTCAACAAGACTCGTCAACCAACCTATCCGCCACTCACTCTTTCCCTGTTTTTGTAAGCAAATAAAACCCCACAGCTATCTCCATCTCCATCTCCATCACCACCATTATTTTATCCCCACCCTATCATGTATAAATCTCTGTTATCTGCATAAAAAATATATAGATGAGGGCTATATTGGACATGGTGAGAGGAACATAACTGGGTCCAGATCCAGGTTACTGCGTAGTGCAATGAGGAAGTCCGAGCCCCCTGGAAAAAACAAGCAGCTTAGAAAGGGTTTATGGTCACCGGAAGAAGATGACAAGCTCATGAGGTTCATGCGCAACAATGGACAGGGTTGTTGGAGTGATGTGGCCAGAAATGCTGGCTTGCAAAGGTGTGGCAAAAGTTGTCGCCTTCGTTGGATCAATTATTTGAGGCCCGATCTTAAACGAGGCGCTTTCTCACCCCAAGAGCAACAACTCGTTATCCATCTGCACTCCCTTCTTGGCAACAGGTCCTTCTCTATAGCTCTTTCCCTCCCTCGACTACTAGGGAAATAGAATGCCATCATGCTTTGAAACTTGATTACCATGTGAGTTCAGATAAGATGGTTATAACTGTACTAATTAACTGTGTACTCATCAACTTTTTGTGCCTGGACTTGGATAGTTGGATCAAGGCACTGCATACATATCTATTTATTTTTTGGTTCAACTAGCGTCCATGCAAATCGTTGCTAGCTTGCTATATTGAAAGTGGCGTTAATTAGCAATTAATTCGGGCCTTATTTTGTACTAGTTAACAGAAGCTGACTTGAGTTGTTATGCATGTTCCATGTTAAAAGATGGTCTCAGATTGCGGCACACATGCCAGGACGAACAGACAATGAAATCAAGAACTTTTGGAATTCCACGATTAGAAGAAGGCTCAAGAACTCTTTGGCCACAAATGACGTCGCCAATATGGGAGGATTCGTTTCAGCTCAAGATCAACAAAGCATTAACGTACCCATGTTCAACCCTCGTCCCTCACCGCCCACAGCAGACAAGAGTCCTGCGGGAGGAATATTCTCAGCAAGTCGCGGGGTTGAGAAGGTAGATACTGGAACATCAGAATGGGATGAGTTGTTTGTTCCTCCTCTGGAGAGTACTTCTAACCTCAAAGTGGAGAGCACGTGCCACGCACGCTCGGCCAATGCTTACTTTGAAGACGCAAACGGTGGGGTTAATAGCTGCAGAAGCAACAGTAACAGAGGCCACCAGGTGGAGGATTTATTTCAACAAAGTTAATCAGCATGGGACAGTGGAATCTGGAGGATCTGATGATGGACATCTCCTCCTCTTCCTTCCTTGATTTTTCTGATCAACACATCAGCTCCCATCCAAGCTCCTTTTAAATTGTATGTAGTAACAACAATTCGCCACAGCACGTAACTGAATTTTCCCAGAACCACCACCACCCCATGTATCCATCTACTTGCAACCCTGTAATATTTGTAATTTCCCCCTTATATTATATTGGAGCATGGTCAAATATTGATGAGGGGGTCTCCAAGTGAATGATCACGTGCTGCAATTAAAGACATGCAAGTTCCAGTTTAGGCGGACCTACTTGTTAGTTGGGGGGGGGGCATTATTTTAATTTCGCAAACATTACGTGTTAGATATCAATTTTTCAAAACCATCACCATCCCCCGTGTGTGTGTCCGCTCACTTGAATCTCTCGTGATATCTGTAATTTTTTTCATATATTAGGTCAAATTCAAATATCAAAGAGAGTATAGGTCTTTTATATATATATATATATATATATACTACTCTCGTCCTATTATATGAAAGAAAGAAAGAAAAAGTTTGATTCTATTTATAGAACACTTGTCAATTTATAATACTCCTCTTTACATTTTTACCCTTATTAAATATTTTAAATAAAAATATCAGTAATGTGATTTAAGAATATTTATTAAAAGTAAATATAAAAATTTGTTAAATTTTAAAACAAAGTGATATGAAACAAGAAATAGGAGAGGGGAAGGGAGAGAAGAGTGAAAGGAGGAAGAAGAGAAAAACTATATAATTTTTATTTAAAAGCTAAAACTGAATACAATTGAAAAATCTTAGAGCTATTTATAAAGCTTAGAAATAATAAAAATAATAATAAATGTAAATCTTAATTAAATCATAATTTAAAAGATGAAGATAAAGTATCTTGCTAATCCAAATATCTTATTTTATTTAATATTTTTGCTCCTTTTTGGATTTTTTTACACTAAATAAAATTGATACTACAAAATAGACAAATAGTAAATACTCAAAATAAATAAAATATTTATATTAAACCTCCAAAAATGTCATAGTAAATAAATAGAGGGTCAATTGGGCCTTACCAACACAACTTAGCAAAGTTGATAAATAAGAATATTTACCCCGATAACCTCACTAGATGATTTGCAGCTGAAAGGAAAGTGGAACCTAGCTTTGATACCAAATTGATGTGAAATGGGGAAGAGGAGGGGGAAGAAAGAGAAGGGAGAAGGGAGAAGGAAAAGAACAATTGTATAATTCTTATTTAAATGCCAAAACTAAATACAATTAAAGAACCTTAGGACTATTTATAGAGCTCTAAAAATAATAAAAATAATAATAAATTTAAATCTAGATCAAATCATAATTTAAAAGACGAAGATAAAGTATCTAACTAGTTTAGATATTTTATTTTATTTGAAATAATATTTAAAGATAAAATAAATTTAAGATACTAAACAAATAATAGTAATCCCTAAATACTAAATCAAATCTTAATAAACCCTAAATCAAATCAAATATAATTCCCATCACAAAGTTAATGAAGTTTAATTTTTTTTTTATTTTGATAAAACATGTTGGAAGTGACCTATAAATAAAATTAAAGGGAGTATCTAAGTAATTGTAAATTTGTCATAGTTGTGCATATGATTCTCCCTCTATCCCAAATTATAAGACAACTTTTGAAGTAGATTCGATTTTTTAAAATATAAAACACTTTGAAAAGATTAAAGTTTCATTAAATAGAATTATTTTAATATTACCCATTCTCTCTGTATAATTAATTTTCATCCATTTTCTTTTCAATATATTAAATGATAGTATTTTTTAAAGTTTATATTTTATTTTTAAAAAATAAGATTGTTAAATATATTTAATGATGTTAATTAGTATGTGAGATTTTATCTAAAAGTATCTTATAATTTGAGATGGAGGGAGTACTTTTTTACTTTCTTTTTTTTCTCTCTCGAGATGCCCGCTTTTTTTGGGAATACTCGTATATTTTCTTCATGTCTACCATAGTTACACTGTCAATTAATATTGATGACAGCTTGACTACATTTACCCCACCTTCACCCGCAAAAAAAAAAAATAAAAATAAAAATAAAAATTATGAGCCCTCAGATTCATGGTTGTGACGATGATTTATTGTTAGTGCAGTTGTGATGCAAAACCGCATGCATAGTCAATCGGATACCCCATGAAGGAATTGAAGAGTACATTTTACAAATTAATTAATCCTATTGATGAGGAGAGTAATTAACAATCAATTATTGGTTTGTTTGATTTCCTATAAGGGAAGCCAAATCAGTTAGAGTCACTTATTATGAGAGATCTTACAGTAAAATATTGATGGAATAATCTCTTTAAAATTACATTAATTATCACGTTTGTTATTTTTTAAATTTGAATCTTCACTTTGAGAAATGCTAATACTAACCCTTACCAACTCTACCTATTAATTTAAAAAAACAAAAAAATCACATATGACTACAAGCTACATTATTCAAAACATTGATTGCAAGGGATGGGGCCGGGATCCAGTCCCAATACAACTTGGCCCACCAGCCCGGGGATATTATAACACAGTTTTACAAACAAGTAATTTAAAGAGGAAGAGGAATTCATGTACGGAAGGTCGGGCTAGAGTTGAAGAGATTGGGGCAAAAAGGATTTTATTTTATTTTTATCTTTTCACCCTTAACCTAATCCTTCCTGTAGGAAGGATAACCCACTCACACAGACTCCTCGTATTACTTGAAATTTGACTCTACAACCTCTTTTTTTTTTTCTTAGGGAAGGGTGAGATGCCATATGAGCTGCATGTTCAAAACATGAGAAATATATATATATATATATATATAAACATATAAGCTGCAAGGGTGGGAAAGGAATTTTATTAATCTGTGATGCGGAGTGTGTGTATATTGTATATGGATATATCAATTACTTTGTCCTCGGAAAAAGGGCCAAAAGCAAACCTACTACAATCCTTTGATTGATGGATGATGGAATTGGTTCATTATTTGGGATATCTCATAAAAGTTCGATCATACATGCAATGCATGCATGCATGCAGCTATGATTCGCAGCACAGTTCCGACAGTCACGTGATTGAATGTATTTGTTCATCAACATTGGCTGCCCAGATTGAGTGGGATCATGGCGGTCGATCGGCTTGTAAGATTCAAGTCGAACTGTTGGAAATCTCCAACAGCGAAACATTCCCCCGGATGTCTGCATATACTGATAATCATCGTGCATGCCATCCACATAAATCATACTCTTTTCATTTTAAATTATAAAATATTTTTAAATAAAATTTTATATATTAATAAAATTTATTAAATACATTTGAAAATTTATTTTTTAAAATAAAAATATAAAATTTTAAAAATATCATTAATTTAATATTTTATTGATAAAAAAATAATAAAAAAATAATATACGTGAAGGATAATATTAAAAATATATAATTAATAAAATTTTATTTTTATTAAAATGTTTTATATTGAGCAGACTTGCTCGTGGATTCTCTGAGCTATCATGGACCCCAATAATGCTGCTGCTGTGGTGCTGCCGAGTAGGTAGTTAGCATTCCATCATTATGCTCTCATGTACTCTTACTCTCTACTCCTTCGGGAATGTCACTGCATTATTCTCACTGACTCCTGTCGTTCTAATTCTGGACTATATATAATGTATCCTCTTAAATCCCACCTCCAGCACAGCCCACGCCACCAAATGGCTTGCCTGCCGCCCGCCACCTCCTATTCCACCCTCTTCCTCCCATCCCGCGGCCGCCATCTTCTCCGGCCTGAAGCCAGGTCCTTCCCTTCCCCGCACTTCTCCTCCTCCTCCAACCAATTCAGTCTCGACAAACTCAACCTCTTCCCAGCTTCAAGAGTTTCATCTTTCAAGCCCTTGCATCTCACGTATTCATTTGCTTTATCCGTTACCCGCCATCAGACCCGTGTTCCGCCCGTTCCAACATCGGCTGCCACTTCTCCTGTAGTTGACGTTGAGCCCTGGGAAGGTGCGCGGTTAAAACCTTTAATGGCTTCCATCGCAACGGGACTCATCCTCTGGTTCCTCCCTAACCCTTCCGGGGTTCCCAGGAACGCGTGGCAGTTACTATCCATTTTCATGGCCACCATTGTGGGCATCATCACTCAGCCACTGCCCCTCGGCGCCGTGGCTGTCCTGGGCTTGGGTGCTTCTGTTCTCACCAAAACTTTAACATACGCCGCCGCATTCTCCGCCTTCGGCCACCAGATCCCGTGGCTCGTGGCCCTCGCATTCTTCTTTGCCAAAGGATTTATCAAGACGGGGCTGGGCACCCGAATCGCCTACCACATCGTGTCCCTAGCCGGTTCCTCCTCCTTAGGGTTAGGCTACAGCTTGGTGTTCAGCGAGGCATTGCTAGCTCCCGCAATACCCTCCGTTTCTGCCAGAGCGGGTGGTATTATTCTTCCCTTGGTAAAATCCCTGTGCTCAGCTTGCGGTAGCAATGTCGGTGATGGAACCGAGTACCGACTGGGGTCGTGGTTAACGCTGACGTGCTTCCAAACGTCGGTGATATCGTCCGCCATGTTCTTGACGGCGATGGCCGCGAATCCACTGTGCGCAACGCTGACTTTTAACGCGATAAAGACGACGATTGGATGGACCGACTGGGCCAAAGCCGCGCTCGTACCTGGGGTGGTATCTCTGATTCTGGTGCCGTTGATTCTATACGCGATCTATCCACCACAGGTGAAGAGCAGTCCTGATGCGCCCAGGCTTGCCAGAGACAAGCTCAGGCAGATGGGGCCCCTGGCTCGCAATGAAAAGATTATGGCTGCCGCTCTGCTTCTCACGGTACGAAACACGCTCATTTTTCTTGCTCTTTATATTTTTAAACTGTGAACAGGGTGTCTCCTCTTATTCTATTATCAGACACACCAGCTATTTCAGTGATCTATCTATCATACTTGATGAAAAATCAATTTACTAGTTATTCTTTCCTACAGTGGAATTTGGATTTGGGTTTCTGACATTTTGAGTTTTTTTACATTAGCTTAGATTACTTTGTTAATTATTGGCAAACTGCTTTTGCTCTTTCGTATGAAATTTTACAGATTCATAGAGTGGGAATGTGTTCAACTATTTGAATACAGATTCAATAAGGAAAGCCTCAGCAGAACATAATTTAAATGGAGGAATATATCTTGGCATGAAATGGGATTCTAGAGAATCTCTGCATGGAGAAGAAAACAAAGAGGGAATAATCGTGTTATTCTGAAATTCAAATTAATTCGAAAACGGAGACTGGTATCTAAAACACGTACATGTCACATGGGATCCTTAAAAAATACAACAAAAACAAAATAAAAAAATATTATACAAGAAATCAAATTTGGATCATCATAATAATTAAAAATTTGGAAGAGCATTGGAAAAGGATGGGAAGGGAAGAGGAGAAAACCTCACCCACTGCGCTGCAAAAAGCAAGAATCCCATGTGGACAGATGGCCACGTGGGCAGATGGCGAGTTCCGGGATGAGATGGACAGCGTCACTGCCACTGCATAGCGGAAGAGCTGCGAAGGCACCCAAGCCACCAATTCCTGAGCCCCATATCCACCGTCCACTCCAAACCCAACGGTCCCCAGATTCCACATTCCATATCCACCGCTCTACTCTGCTCCTCATGCTGCTGCTCTCCTGAACTCTGCTTCTCCTCCGATTCCACCAGCCATGGCTTCCATGCCACCACTCGCCACTCCTTCTCTTCTTCTCCCTTCCTCCAAGCTTCCGCCCTTCAATTCCCTACAGCTTCCCTGCTCCTCTTCCCTCAGTTCTACCCACTTTTGTCGCCTCAGACGCCATTCTTCCTTTTCCTCATTTCCTCCTCTGACACTCTCCAAGGCCGTTTTCAACATCAAACCCGGTCCGCGATGTCACCGCGTCAGAGCCTCAGCTGCTGGAGCTTCAGTTTCTCCAGCTCCGGCTGCTCAGCCGTGGCAGGGTGCTGCAATTAAACCTCTGTTGGCTTCTATAGCCACGGGGGTTCTGCTCTGGTTTGTCCCCGTGCCTTCTGGGGTGTCCAAAAACGCCTGGCAGCTGTTGGCGATTTTCTTGGCCACCATCATCGGCATTATTATGCAGCCATTGCCACTCGGTGCTGTGGCCGTGTTGGGTTTAGGTGTTTCGGTTCTTACAAAAACCCTGACCTTCTCCGCAGCCTTCTCGGGCTTCGGCGATCCCATCCCCTGGCTCATTTGCATGGCCTTCTTCTTTGCCAGGGGCTTTATTAAAACGGGTTTGGGCAATCGAATTGCTTATCAATTTGTTTCTCTTTTTGGTAGCTCATCTCTAGGATTAGGATACAGTTTAGTTTTTAGCGAGGCCTTGCTGGCACCGGCGATTCCTTCCGTCTCGGCTAGAGCTGGCGGCATTTTTCTTCCGTTAGCGAAAGCCTTGTGCGTCGCTTGTGGTAGTAACGTGGGTGATGGAACCGAGAGTAGACTGGGATCGTGGTTAACGCTGACTTGCTTTCAAACTTCGGTGGTATCGTCGGCCATGTTTTTGACTGGAATGGCAGCGAATCCCTTGTGCGCCACTCTGACCCAAAACTCTATCAACCAGACGATTGGGTGGTTAGATTGGGCCAGAGCTGCCATTGTGCCCGGTCTGCTGTCATTGATATTGGTCCCTTTCATTTTGTATGTGGTTTACCCTCCAACAGTGATATCCAGTCCCGACGCGCCCAAGCTTGCTAGGGAGAAGTTGCAAGCGATGGGACCAATGACCCTAAATGAGAAGATAATGGCCGGGACTCTGCTCGTCACGGTATATTCCTCTGATTATTTGCAGCTAAAACTGGGGGGTAGAACCAGTTAGTAACAGTTTTATTTTGCACCCTGCGGCTTGATAACTGTCTTCCATTTGTATCAGGTGGGGCTCTGGGTTTTTGGTGGGGTTCTTGACGTGGATGCGGTGACCGCCGCGATTCTGGGATTAGCTGTACTGCTTGTGACTGGGGTTGTTACGTGGAAGGAATGCTTGGCCGAGGGAGTTGCCTGGGATACGCTTACGTGGTTCGCTGCCCTCATTGCAATGGCCGGTTATCTCAACAAATATGGTCTCATTGCCTGGTTCAGCCAAGCTGTTGTCCAGGTCAGTTTCTTTCCTGGCTCCGACTTATGCAGTGCCTGATTGTTTTTATTATCTGCGTGTTTCTGTTTCTGCTTCAGCTTCATTTATTCTTCTCGATGTCTATTCTTGGTGTTGTGTTTTATTCAATAGCCTTTTTCCATGTCCGATAATGGGAAAAAACCTATTTGACGAGTTCATGATTGTTTGTACAGTTTGTGGGGGGACTGGGACTGTCGTGGCAACTATCATTTGGCATCCTGGTGCTTCTCTACTTCTATTCACATTACTTCTTCGCGAGTGGGGCCGCTCATATCGGAGCCATGTTTACAGCGTTCTTGTCTGTTGCAAGCGCGCTGGGCACTCCACCCTACTTCGGAGCCATGGTGCTGTCTTTCCTCTCCAACCTGATGGGGGGCCTTACCCACTACGGGATTGGGTCGGCACCCGTGTTTTTCGGTGCCAACTATGTCCCCTTGCCCAATGGTGGGGCTACGGCTTCCTTGTAAGCATTGTCAACATCATCATCTGGCTTGGCGTTGGAGGAGCTTGGTGGAAATTCATTGGCTTGTGGTGAAGTTCCTTTTTCGCTTCACTAGCCCATCCCCAATCTTTGCTATAACCATCCTTCCATGTGGTTTTTATCGACGTCTTTGTCGGGGCACTACTATAGAGAATTGGCCATTTTATATCCAAGTCGAGCAATCATTTTTTCGCGCAATGTCATCCGGGAAGACTAATTATCACAATTTCATGTTCCAATTCTTCCATCTATGCGTGGTATGTGGCAAGAAAGTCAAGACAGTTGTCAGCACCTATATAAAATTTATGTAAAGCCACATCTTTCATAAATTATTAATATAACATGGCATAGTTTTTACATTTCAAACTTCGCATGGGCATTAAAACTGGTTAATTATTTATTTGTAAAGCGGAAGCATAAGTTCCATAACACTGAGAAATTAAAATTAAAAAATAAATCAACATTCATTGAATCGGTTTAAGCAAACATGCTGCAGGAACACACACCGCTAGAGTCGCGTATACAATCTACTGTTAAGAACCATAATTTGCAGTTCGAAACAAATTGAAACTAAAACTCGTACATCATTTAATATCCATATCCTTCACCGTCTTGCTCATTTTAAAATCATTGACAGACTTGTCAAAAGTGCTCCTAACATGCTGGCACATTAGCATCAGATCCTGGCATGCATCTTTCAACACCTCACGGGCCGAATCCCCTATAGATGCCCAGAGATTACAAATATTGTAAACAGAAAACTACTGAAGCAATCTCAATGAAGATTCCATTGGATAGCCTAGAATAACAAGTTTATAACAAGCAGTTAAATGCAAATAATTGCCTGCATTCCTAGTAGTCATGTCATCGTCCAACAAATAAAAAAGTTCTACGCTAAATATAAGGAAACATTAACAACAATGTTCATGCACTCCCAATCGTGATTTTAAGGTATTTATAGATGCTTCACCTTAACTCTAATGTATTAAAAGCAGGAAATCCATTCACTAGAACATGTTAACAAAATGCACATCATAATTCATTCTCCAGAAAGATTACGTTCATAATTTAACAGAGATAGCAGAGAATCATGAGACATATTCTCATGGTCTAGTATTGGACTTTCTTCCAAAATTAGAATCCAGATCGGTGACATAAATCATTTAGCAAAACCATAAATAAATGCAACTGCGATAACGCTTCAGCTAACATGGAACTATAAAACAAAGATTTTGGCAGGAACTTGCGAAGTACAGCTAGAGGTTCAAAGAGACTGCATATATTACCTGTTGTTTGGACTCTGATATTAACTCGATTATCAGAAGGATGAGGGATGCTATAACCACAGAATGTCACTCTAGGACTGCAAAACATCAATGACCTCACCTCATCAGGATATTTGACAGTTGAGAAAACAACATCAGGATGGCAGGGGGATCTTGAATATAAGAAGAAACCACATGAAAGACTAAAGTTGATGAAGGCATTTATGCTTTGGAAGCAAGCTAAAAATGAAATTCATAAATTATATGCAGAGGAGTAGAAAAGCACATAAGAATTTGCAGATCACTACTGACTCTTGATTTAAGGTGAATCGAACGGCATTTGCAAGTGTATGATCCTCATCCGCAAGGGAAAATGTTGATTTACTCTGATCAGAATATGACCCAAGCTCCATTGTGATTGATCACCCTGCAGACCAATAAGCACATAAATCAATTTCCTTTGACATGCATACCGAAAAAATTCACCTTTTTCTAAGCATTAGAAACTTAAAGAAGTGAAAATGAAAAAGAAAAGGTATAATACCAAGTCTGCAAAAAAGAAAAACGACTTTGCCATCAATTCAAAGAAATTGTTCGTTTCAGCCAAGAAGAGGGTTGGAATACATATATTAGAGGAATAGAGGGGGCAGCAAGAGTGAATGCAAGACCGCTTAAAAATAAATAGAAAGAAAGAAAGATATTCATCCATAGTCATAAAGGTAATGTTTAAATAAAAAATCATGATAATCATCCAAAACACAATATTCATCCATAATCATAGAAGTAACTTATACCACTCTTCTGGAAATTCAATTTATCAAGCATGTCTTCTCAAAATTCAACTCCAAGCCTACGTGACATTTAAGTGAAAGAAGTTTAAACATGAGAAGTTTAAGTAAAAGTCACTTATCCTTACTGCTCACTCTTTCAGGAAAGGTGATCACAATACCTTCAACGTTCTACTGTAACCGAAAATTTGCAACCCGACGCTTGCAAACACTCCATCACTCATCGCTCAAGCAATTTGCAGTGACACTCTTATGATTGCTCATCTCAGTTTCAAAAACTCAAAAATATACAATCAATACTCGTTTTCCTTCATTTACATCTAAAAGTTTCGCTAATCCAAGTATAATATTCGATATGACGAAAGCATCTAGGAAAAATTTAAAACAAAGCAAGAACAGCCACGAAGGGAACAGATAACGCGGGGAACAAATTCAAACATAGATTCAAGGCCAGATTGAGCAAATCAATCTCACCGGATTTTGGGAGTAGAAAAAGCCCTTGGGTTCGAACCTTCTTCACTGCTTGCCCGAGAACAACCACGCAGGGCTGACAAGGTGGACGGCCGCCGACGAGTGTGGAATGCTTGTTCGTACGAAGGGAACTCGATCCGCTCTGCTGACCAGAATGGGTTTTGTTGGAGGTTATAGTTAATTTTAGGAAGAATTTGATATAGGTGGAAAAATAATTATGGGCAGTCGAATTTTTAAAGCTAGAGGGTCCTCATGATATGACAAGCTGAATATAATTGAACTAAGTAAAATATGTTTAAGATTAGGGTCTGTATTTACAAAATTATTTAAATCACATAATTTTTTTTAAATTTAGATAAATTTTTTTTCATGTGATGGCAGATGGCCATAGTAAAATTTATTTTATTAATTTATACTTATAAATTTTTTGATTGTCAATTACTCATTTTATACTTATAGATTTATATAAAATATATATATATATATATCTACATATTCTTACAGTATTACTATATTTTTAATTAGATTGACATATTTTATTTTATTTTAATTGAATCTTTAAGATTTGATTAATTAAATTTTTAATCGTTGAAATTTTTTTTGAATTTTTTAAATTTTCTTAATATTTTTAATAAATAATTATATAAATTTAGAATTAATTACACAATTTTTATAATTAAGTTGTCTTCAAAATATTTTTTATACAAGTAGAATTTTCTTTAAAAAAATTAATAAAAGACGAAACTATGTATTAAATCAATTTTTTTATTTTAGTTAAAGTTATTAAATTAAATTTTCTATAAATTTTAAGAGTATTTTTTGTGAGATTTAATAATTTATTATTTATTTTAATTTTTAGGGGTTAATATATATAGTAAATCAAATTATAAAAACTTAATTAAAATAAAATAAACTACAAAAACTTAACTTAAAATTGAGCAAAACTATAAGAACCTACAAATTAATTTTTTTCAATTTATAATCAACTCCTTTATATCAAAATGGAATTAAATTTATAATCAACTATTAAAAATGTCAAATGTATTTCTATAATTTTTTCATGCTCTTTTTTTTAAAAAAATTTCTTACCTATTTTTTTTTTAAAAAAGGGTTCAGATAGCTAAAAAAAAATCTCAACCTTTCAAATAATTTAAATTTAAATAGGAGAAGTGAAGTTGACTAAACAAAAAGGTAAAGCACATCAAAACATATTTTAGCACAATCATATATTAACAAAAAAATATGTGAAGAAATTATGGGTCATTTTTGCCAAGCATGGAGGGGAACAAAAGGGTTTTTGTGTACCCCAAGCCCTCTCACGGGTGGACCGCAACCCAACTCGAGCCATAGAAGGTGAGACGAAGAGGAGAAAGGGAGAGCGAGATGCTTTGAACTCAGAGACTGCTAGCCAAACCCAATGAACTCCATGCTTGTGGCTAGAGAACAAACATGGAAGGAAAGAGAGGGAGAGGGAGTCCACAAAAGTGGGGAAGGAGAGAAAAAAATATTGAAAAATTGCAATGTGGAGAACACAAATGAGATCCATTAAGAGCTTGACGGTAGAGGAATAAGGCACCTGTTTTGACCGTTAAGAAGCGAAAATCACCCATAGTCAAGTTCGAGTCCCCACAGGCTTTAGGAAAAAAATTTAAGGACAAACATGACTCTTAATCCTTAATTTAAATGTTCCAAGATCTATTGATAACTCAACCAAAATATAACAACTATTTTAATTGTCATTTTTTATCAATAAACCTTGTGGTATTTAAATGTATTATATGAAACTTTATGTGTAGTTTTATCAAATGTATGTAATATATTTATGGTGAAGATAATATTTAAAAATACATAGGAATATGAAATAATGAAATAACTATTATTTTGCAAAAAAGAATTGATGTTTTATAAATTTACAAACAGAATTTTTACCCCAAAAAAATTTACCAATAGAATAATTATAGAAAAAAATCAAATAAAATTAAATTTAAGGATAAAAGTGAAAAAATATATGGGATCCAAAAAAAAATTAAAGACAAAAAAATAGGATCCTAAAACTATTTTTAAATTTGAAGACAAAAGGGAAAAGACTCAGGAAATACCTTCAGGTAGAGTAAAACAGTTTTAGGAAGTATGGAAGTAGTTGGGCATCAATAACCATTAAAACAAGGGTTAAAAAAGTTATGTACAAGAAACTAGACCATATATCACAACCAAAGTTGAATCTGTACTCGTGGTATAAAGGCCACTTGCCTTGGCCGAAGGTACATTTCCTTATGGCCAACTACATCAAAGCCAACCATCATAGCCAAACCCATTGTATACCACAGCTAACATTTATTATGTCATTCGCCACAACTAACAAAAGCTTTTCTACTTGGTCCATTTAAGAATTTCTTGTCTATTAGACAGCACCAATTAATAACATTGTTAAGTAGCTAAGTTTATGGGCTAATTAACTACACAAGAAATGTGGTTATATATAAGACCTTATACCCATCACAACCAAACCCATCGTCTGCCATAACTAACACTTATTATGCCATTCATCATGGCTAATAGAGGCTTTCATTATAGCTAATGGGCTGTAACATTACCAAAAAAAAAAGACAACATTTTGAGTCAAATTTTCAAGGTGCCTAACTTTAAACTCAAACATTCGATTGAAGTGATCCTATCATCCACACGAAAACAAAAAAGTAAACTAGTTAATGGTACTGGCCCTTCCATCATCTAATAACAAACAGGGGATTTAGAAACTTGGGACGATAGAAAAGCAAACATGTCTGACTACTTGAAATCCCTAAGTGTCTCTAACCCAAATATTGAGCCACTAGTCACAAACAGTACAATCTTTTACACATGCATAATTAAACCAACAAACTCATCATGCATAAACTACAGACGATTAACATTTAACTCGTATCCACGAGCCTATACATTCATGTGTCACCTACTAAGACTTACCATCAACTAGAAGAATAGATAAGTATATCCATATTCAATCCACAATAACTAGTAGTGTAAAAAGTATTTTTCACAACAGTTAAAAATTTATTTTCACAACACAAGAAGTGGTGTGGTGAAAATGGGTGTAGTTATAAATGGTTACATTTCACAACAATTAAATTATGTAACTATTACGAAAATGTAAGACTTACAACGACAGTTAGTCAGTTATCATATGAATTGTCATTGTAAACCATGATTTCCATGATAGTTGATATTTAGAATTGTCGTTGTAAGTATACCTTTTCGCAAAAACTGTGGTGACAATTGTAGCGAAAAGTGTATCTTTTGCCATAGTTTGATACACAATTGTCATTGTGTGTAACCTTTAAAAAAAAAAAAGAATGCAGATTTAGTATGCTATGAATCCCTTACTTATAAAAATATGTAGTTATGCATAAACAATAGCTCCAGAGACAAATACGAACATATTCATTGAAATTTATACATGTCCAATATAAATATCTATCTAATTGTCTACTCTAATCTTATCAATTCTAAAAAATAAGTAGACCAAATATTATGTATATGTCTCGACTTTTGCTTGAAATCTAACTCTAAATTATTAAATTGATGCATGTCAATAAAAATATATGTATAAATATTAATTCAAGTATAGGGTAAACTACAAAATATAGATTATTTTTAACAAATTATTACCTTCTCAATAGAGTGGGTAATACCTTGAGTGATGATTTTATACATGAAAATCATCACGTAATAACTACATTCTACACTTTTTAATTGCTAAATACACTATTAAAAAATTAAATTAAACCAATTCAATTCATAAACTTAATATTATAGTTTTTATTCTAATTTAAGAAAGAATTTAAAATACTTACTTGCATATGCACCCACCTGATCTCATTTTTTTTTCTTGTCAACTATCCCCCAACCTCTAATAACAAAGTAAAGATCTATTTGTCAAATATACACACTTAAAATATATTAAAAATATGCTAATAATATCATAAAAAAGAGTTATTCAAAAAACTTACGATTCAAATAATGACTTTATATCGTCGCTTACTTTTCATTATAATAAATAGAACTAATATATAGTATTTTCATGGAGACAAGTGCTAGGAAGGATTCAATGATTGTTACAAAATATTAGTCTATATTAATATCACATTATTATGCAAAATTTTTATAAATAGAGAGATGAATTGAAAGTTTAATACCTTTCAACAATTGGTGCAAAAAAACACATTCTCTTCAACCTATTCATCACACTTCCAATATAAGATACCTTTTAATTTGGTTTGCCAGCTGGAGTTTAGAATAAGGATAAGAATCTATAATAATGACTGACATTAAGTTGGTGCACATTTTGTGAAGGAACCTTTGATAATAACAAAAGTGTTAACAATAAATAAAAATAATAAATATTAAATTAAAAATAAAAATAAATAATTATATGATAAAAACTTGTATTAGCGATACATCTAACCACTCCATAATAATGAGATCATTAATATGCTTTTTAGGGGACTTGAAAAGTAATATCGTTCCCAACAATCTCCTCACTTATTTGTATTTTATTAATAAATTCATCCATATCAACAATCATAGAAGCTAACTATTTCAAATCATCTCAAATTAGTTGGGGATTAAAACTTAGTGATTTTGTTGATTGTTGAAGTTCCTAATTAATATATTATCAAAATTAAAGATATCTACCATGTTAATAAAGAAATATGAAAAATTATAAAGTTTTCATACCTTTTCAATAACCTATTGAACAACCCTTCTCAACCAAATAATAAATAGTTTGTCCTATTGTTTACACCTCCTCATTAAGAAATGGCACATGAGCATTAGTATTCACAACCTCTTTAACAATGACCTTTACTTGGTTATCTTACAGTTGCTCATCATGGACTATAGTTGCATAATTGTACACTTTTCCATATACAACTACAATTTTTCAGGATTTTCCAAATAAATGATGCATGATAATCCTTAATCTGATACGTTATGATCATACTCTGGCTGTAGAATACCACTATATTTTTGTACTTGTTGAAATTGCATCTATAGGGAATTGATCATTGATTGCATTTCCATTATCAAGGTTGATTTACATTCCACTATCATCTTTTCTGCTTGCTGTATCGGTATACTATTAGAAAGTGGTAGTCTAAAATATTGACTTATACCCATGT